GAGGAGCGATGTCTCTTGGCACACTGATCCACATATACACTGTTGTGACAGAGCAGGCCTAATTCCATTAAGATCTATTTACTTTCCTGCATCTCTTGGGTACAGAGAAGGGTTGAAGATGGCTGAGAAGCTTGTGGCTCTGTGTGTGTGTGTGTGTGTGTGTGTGTGTGTGTGTGTGAGAGAGAGAGAGAGAGAGAGAGAGAGAGAGAGAATGAGAGAGAGGAAAAGAGAAAGAATGAGAGAATGAAAGAGGAGAGAAAGAATGAGAAAAAGACAAAGAAAGAGGGAGAATGAGAGAGAAAGAAAGAGAATGAGAAAAAGAATGAGAGAAAGAGAGAGAGAAAGAGGAAAAGAGAGAATGAGAGAGGATGAGAGACAGAGAAAGAGAGAAAGAATGAAAGAGAATGAGAAAAAGAGAGAGAGAATGAGAAAAAGGATGAGAGAGAAAGAGAGAAAGAGGGAGAGAGACAAAAAGGATGAGAGACACAGAGAAAGAGAAAGAATGAAAGAGAATGAGAATGAGAAAAAGACAAAAGAAAGGGAGAATGAGAGAGAAAGAGAGAATGAAAATGAGAAAAAGAGAGAATGAGCGAGAGAGAAAGAGGGAGAATGAGCCAGAGAGAATGAGAGAGTGAGAGAGAAAAAACGAGAGAGAAAGAGAGCAAGAGAGAGAGAATGACACAGAGAGAGAGAGAGAGCCCCTAGGTAGACACATGGTGACCCGACCTCCTTGTTCCATCCAGTTCATGGATGCAATTTGGCAAAAGTTGCTTGTCTCTGGACCGTTCTACAAACAGTAAATTGCTATTTTTTTAAATAAATAAATGCGCCGCTCACTTGAAGCCTCTTAGAAGAGTGAAACGAGCTGCTTTCCACCTGGGCGGAAACTCAGAGCGATCCTTTGGGCATCGTCACTCATGTTTGCTGTAAGTGCTTTGTAGACAAGAGGTGAGACACTGGAAGGAGGAGAATTTGCCGGAAAGCTTAACCCTCCTGCTCCTAAGCATCTGGCTGCAGTTATGGGAGACAAAAAGATCACACCAGGGAGATGTTTGGGTGACTTCAGATATTTCTTTATATATATAAAAAAATGTTGGCTGTTGAGTTTGTGGCTGGTCAGTCCACAGGAAAAGAATGACGTAAGCCAATGGGAATTAAATACATAGATTAAGTAATGTTAATAAAATCAAATAAAAAGGGAAGAAAACCAATGAAACTAGTGAAGTGAAAACTCAGGGCAGTTTAGAAGACTCTTTGACCCCCCCCCTCCTAAGTATCGCTTAATGAACCTGACTGGAACCAGCAGCTAAGTTGTCATTAAGTGACACATCACACGACTGCCTCGCTTAGTGACAGCAATTCTGGCAGTCCTGGTTGCGGTCCTGAAGCGAATCATCACTTAAGTTGTTAAGCGAGACGTTCAACCTCCTGCCTGTTTCCCCACGGGAGGCCACGACCGTCATAAATGTGGGGACGGTCGCCCGGGGCTCAAATTGCAATCCTGCAACTGTGGGGACACCCTTGATGGTCGTAAGTGCGAGCACGGGTTGTCAGCCACTTCATTCGGTGCCGTTGTAACATCAAAGAAGACATTAAACAAGTGGTCATTAAATGAGGACTTATCTGTAAAAAAATCACTGTCCAAGGTGCTGAATAAAAAAAGTTCTTATTTGAGGGGGTCCTTGGTGGTCTCTGAGCTTGCTTGTTTTCATGCAGAGCAAGAAAGGGAGCAACAAGGACCCCCCGTTTCAACCCTGAGCTGCAAATAATTCTCCTTTATTGGATTCTTATTTGCACAGTGTCGTTCACGCGGCAGAGCGCAGAGGCCTTATGAATGCCAGCCTATTCCTCAAGAACAATTGTGCCGCATGCAACCTCTCACTCCCACGTCACAAGAGGGAGTTAAAATTAGACTGCGTCTCGTCCTTTTTTGTTCAGGCTTCTGGTCTAGCCACTCTTCCACCCAAGAAGCTGGTTTTTCTCCCAAGTGGCGCCTCCTCTCCTTATTGGCGATATCCAGACGTGAAAAAGGAATTGAAGCTGGCAAAGATGAAACCACGTCTTCTTCTGCTGTGTCCAGATCAAATGGAACCCAGCTTCTTGGCTTTTTCGTTGGCCAAAAATAAGTCCTTGTTGGTACAGGTTTCTGGAGTTAGCCAACGTCCAAGCAGATGGGCTGGGCTCTGCGTGTCTCCACATTCACACAACATGTTGTTGTCCACGAAGAGTCTCCACTTATTTACACTTCAGCACTTCAAATTTCAACCTATTCAAGCTCCTGCAAGCAACATAGGGGAGATCAGATCCCTCAGCCCAGGCTTCCCATACTGTTATTTCTTGCGTGAAGGTCTGCTTCCTCCATCTTTTAATTCAGTTTTGTTCTAGCATTTAATTCCATGAAACGGCTACCCAGATATATTTCATACATAGTCCAAACCCATCCTAAAGGTTCAGTCCCTCCAGGTGAGAACTCTGACTGGAGTTGGAAGCAGAGTTGAATTTGCCCAGCTCTTGAGAAGGGTGTGGGTGTGTCCTACAAGTGTGCATTCAAACCTGCGTCCAGAAAGCAAGAGTGAGCTTGTAAAACCCATTCTTCTTCCATGCTCTACGGAAGTGACCCAATACAGCCGGCTTCACAATTGCAAACTTGCTGTCTGTTTTAAACGAAATGCCACGATTATCTCTATCATCTCTCTGGCCACTTCAGGAACGTGGGAACGTGAGTTTGCCAAGCGATGTCTGAGGGAGAAAACTGACAGCTTTTGGGCCAGCTGGCCAGCCGGCGAAAGCACGCTCCAAATTTTACTGTCGATTCTTGGCAAGGGCTCAATATACTTTTTTCTCAGATGTTTTTTTGGCAACCTTCTCTAAAACAAAGATGACTTCCTTTGGGGGGACATGACATTGCAAGGGCAGTGCTGGCACTCTGTGCCCTGGTAGCTTAGATGGGTGCTTGAAGGAAATAATAATAATAATAATAATAATAATAATAATAATAATAATAATAATAATAATAATAATAATAATATAATAATAATAATAATAATAATAGGAGGAGGAGGAGGAGGAGGAGGAGGAGGCATAGGAGGAGGAGGAGGAGGAGGGAAGAAGAGAAGAAGAAGAAGAAGAAGAAGAAGAAGAAGAAAGAAGAAGAAGAAGAAGAAGAAGAAGAAGAAGAAGAAGAAGAAGAAGAAAGAAGAAGAAGAAGAAGAAGAAGAAGAGAAGAAGAAGAAGAAGAAGAAGAAGAAGAAGAAGAAGAAGAAGAAGAAGAAGAAGAAGAAGAAGAAAGAAGAAGAAGAAGAAGAAGAAGAAGAAGAAGAAGAAGAAGAAGAAGGAAGAAGAAGAAGAAGAAGAAGAAGAAGAAGAAGAAGAAGAAGAAGAAGAAGAAGAAGAAGAAGAAGAAGAAGAAGAAGAAGAAGAAGAAGAAGAAGAAGAAGAAGAAGAAGAAGAAAGAAGAAGAAAGAAGAAGAAGAAGAAGAAGAAGAAGAAGAAGAAGAAGAAGAAGAAGAAGAAGAAGAAGAAGAAGAAGAAGAAGAAGAAGAAGAAAGTTGGAAGGACCACAGGACTGGAGACTTATACTCCGTAGCATTATTCATTCGCTCATTCTCTCTTTTTCTCATTTTTTCCAGGAGGCAACCGGACTCCCTTGTTTTGCCTTGAAGACGTTTCGCTTCTCATCCCAGAAGCTTCTTCAGTTCACGAAGTTTAGTCCTTCAGAACTTGGCTTAGAAGTGAAACGTCTTCAAGGGGAAAAAAAAACGAAGAAAGTCCAGCTGCCTCTTGGAAACGCACCTTTGGGATGCCTGATCCTTTGGCAACCTCTTGGTAGCTCAGATCCTAAAGCCACCAAGCTATCTTTGAAGTCCTGCCAGTTCCTCCTTGAAGCCAGTCAGGCATCTGCCTCGCTCACCTTCATTCTCCCGGGAAGAATGGATTTTGGGTAATCAGGTATCCCTGGAACAATGTCAGATTTAATATCTTTCATTAAGCTCTTACCGAGCCATTAGTTGGCGTCTGGTGGTGGAGAAAGCAGTCTGTTTTTCCTCTCCTGTTTATCTGATGCCCGCTGATGTGCATTTGATTATCTTTCCCTTTCTTTCTGGTTTGTTTTTTTTTTAAATTGCTTTTCATATTCTGCGAGTCATCCCGCAGAATGAAGTTGGCTGCTGGCGTTTCTTTAAAAGCGGTGGAGGATGGAGAAGTGAGGAAGGAAGCCAGCAAATCGGAATGGGAACTTCCCAGAAATTTTGCCTGGCCCAGCTAGAAATGTGCAGGATCCCTGCAGCCAGTTGCAGAGCCTTGCAAGAAGCATCTTTTCACTGTCCTACTGCTAAGACTATGGCTGGCTGGTTGAGTGATGCAATTGTCTGATTTCCTGGAGGGATGACGTAGTGGATAAGTCTGGATAATTTCTTGTAAAGAATGAATAATGCTACGGAGTATAAGCCTCCAGTCCTGTGGTCCTTCTTTTCTTCCAGATTTATAAATGGAGCATGCTTGCAGGCTTATAAACCATGCACGGGTTCCAATTTCAGAGCAGGTCTGGATTTTGTCTGGATTTTAAGGATTGATAGAAGAGAATATTTGTAACTCAGGGGATCCTGAGTGTTCTCTGAGCTTGGTGGTTTTCTTACAAACGTTTCATTACCCAGCTAGGTAACGTCATCAGTACTAGAAGTCCAGTTGTCTTTTGGAAAAGCACCTTTGAAACATCTAAATCAGGGGTCTTCAAACTTGGCCCCTTTGTGACTTGTGGGCGTCAACTCCTAGAATTCCTGGCTGAGGAATTCTGGGAGTTGACGTCCACAAGTCATCAAAGGGCCAAGTTTGAAGACCCCTGATCTAAATGGTTTGGAAGAAATCTACCCTCCCTCTCATCTCTCCAGGAGAGTTGTTAATTGCCATTTTGGTGGAAGTAGCCAAAGAACTGGAGAGGACCTGGACGTTGGGACACGACATGTCATGTTAACATGGGTTAACATTTTCTCTTTGCTGTGCAGCTTATCTCCAGTGATGCTGATGGAGCCATTCAAAGGGCTGGCCGGTTCCGAGTGGAAAATGGCTCACTGGATGAGGTGGGTGGAAACCTTCCTGCTTTGATGAAGAGTTGGCTTTGGGCATAAACGGGGTGGGCAGGTGAGGGAAAATATATCGTGCTTCTTCTTCTCACTGTTCTTCTAACTCATCCAATCTCAGCCAGTTTTGGCTGATCTTCAAAACTAGAGGTGCATTAAAGTGGGGCCCTGAAACTCAAGGTTAGAGGCTCAACAGAGTAGCTGGAGAAACATCTCAGAAAGCAACGGTGGATCATACCTGCCTTTCATTTCTTTATGTCTTGCATGAGATGTTCCAATTGGTCCTGCTCTGTGGAAGAGTCCTTCCAAGGTTCTCTTTCTATTTCAGAATGCCGATTACACACCTGGAACGTGGCACAGAACAGATGTGCATTTGGAGAACCCGGGATACCACACCAGGTGGTACTTCAAGTATTTTCTAGGAAAAGGTAGTGACGCTTTTTGGGGGTGTGGGCATGCATGACACATTAGGTGATTGGAAGCAGGGCTGAATAAGGAATGGTGGTGCAGTGGTTAGAGTGTAGCACTGCAGGCAAACTCTATCAGGAGTTCAATCCTGATGGGCTTGAGGTTGACTCAACCTCCCATCCTTCCGAGGTCGGTAAAATGGGGACCCAGATTGTTGGGGGCCATATGCAAATAAAAAGGTGCTGCAAAGCACTATGGGGCAATATATAAGTCTAGGTACTATTGCCATTCCTTCTCCTTTTTTTCTTCTCTTCTTCCTCCTCCTCCTCCTCCTCCTCCTCCCCTCATTTTTTCATCTGTCTGTCCTGGCTGCAAGTTTCTTTCTTTAACATATTGCAAGCCATTGGGGGGGGGGGAGGGGGAAAGCCATGAAGTTGGTAGGGTGTGAGTTCGTCCATTCCGACAACTTATGGACTCTCTGCCTAACGCGTTTTGCTCTGACTGATGAAGTTGCTTGGACGAGCAGTGAAACGACTCAGATTAACCAGGTTAGGTCCAGTTTGCCACGATTCAACCTTTTAGTTACCTTTGGGCTGGATGATTGAGTTTTCATTAACTTATTTCTTCGGGTGTCGCTCAAGAAATTGTGCGACCTTGCACTTTTTTGGGGGGGGGAGAATCACCAATTCTAAATGTGTGTCGTTTTTCCTTCCCAGTTCATCAGAACTACGTCGGCATGGATGCAGAGAAGAATCCCTTTTTCTTATCCGTCGTGCTCTCCGATCAAAACAATCAGCGTGTCCCTCAATACCGAGCGATCCTCTGGAGAAAAACAGTAAGCGGGCAGATCCTCCCTGCACAGGGGATCCTCAATTTACAATCCTTCGTTTAGTGCCTGTTCCAAGTTACGATAGCACTGGAAAAAAAGAGACTTAGGACACAGTTTTTTCACCCGTAAGACGGTTGCAGCGTCCTTGTGGTCACGTGATCGAAATTCAGATGCTTGGAAACTGGCTTATACTTGTGACAGTTGCTGTGTCTCCGCGGTCACGTGATCAAAATTCAAATGCTTGTCAAGTGGCTCCTATTTATGACGGTCGCAGCGTCTCCGGGGTCAGTGATCCTCTTTTGCGACCTCTGACAAGCAAAATCAGTGGGGAAGCCACTTAACAACCAGGTTACTAATTTATCAGCCGGAATGGTTCATTTAACAACCGGGGCGGGAAAGATTGTAAAATGGGGCAAAACTCACTTAACAAATGTCTCACATAATGACAGGAACTTTGGGCTTAATTGTGGCCGTAAGCCGAGAACTATCTGTACACAGTCAAGAGGTGTGCATCTATTCTTGATGCCCAATTCTGTAATATCTGTCCAGCTCTTCTTTTGGGAGAAACTGACATTCAGTCTAGCTTATTCAAGAGTTGCTTTTTCCTCTCTCCTTTTGCTCGGGAGAAAATCCTCAATTTCTGCCTCTGGGTTAACCCAATTCTCTTACAGGGAACCCAGAAGATTTGCCTCCCGTATAGCCCTACGAAAACCTTGTCTGTAAAATCCATTTTAAGGTAAGCAACAGCCACAAATTACCCTGCCGTTCGGTTGGCGTGTTGCACGAACAAGATCTGAAAGTTCTTGACAGCGACCATAAAGGTGTTCTGTTCTAAATTCCTACCTTGCTTGCTTTTTCAGTGCCATGAACCTTGACAAATTTGAGAAAGGGCCCCGGGAAATCCTTCACCCGGAAATTCAAAAGGTATATTGATTGATTGATTGATTGATTTTGTTAAAGGTCAGCGAAAGACTACCCCGAGGATGGCTCACAACTGTTAAAAAGGGAGGAATGAAAAGAAGCGTATCAAAGCCACGAAACCATATAGATAAACGATGGAATAAAACACACTGGGCAATTTTAAGACTTGTAGACTTCAACTCCCAGAATTCTTGATGCTGGCTGGGGAATTCTGGGAGTTGAAGTCTGCCAGTCTTAAAGTCGCCACGTTTGGGCCCCCCTGGGATAATCAAGGAAGGTACAGTAATAAATACAGATTTAACCGTAAGCCACTCAGACTGCTTTGACTAGTGGGCAGTTTGTTATTTTTTTTTTTAAAAAAAGTTCTAAATAAATAGATCCGTTGTTTCTTACGAGAGAGGGCAGAAGCCTCAACATTCCAGGGAATTAGACTGTGTAATTGTGTTCCTTTATGCCACCTACGTAGCTGTCCATCTCAAATACATGACTCTGGAGGACTAACAATGGTTAAAACGAGATCAGAGCGATCCCAAGTAATAACATGTATAGAAGCCAAGATTTTTTAAAAAACCAGCCAATAACAATTGACACATCAAAAGAAAAATCAAGGAACTACACCTCTATGAACAATGGCAGGGCAAGCTATTGTATATAACAGTGAGTAAACCCCACTCCCTTCTAGCACTGATGATGTTACCTAGTTGGGTAATGAAACATCTGCAAGAAAACAAGCAAGCTCAGAGATTCTGTATATAAACTGTATATAAACATTTCAAAATGAATGAATATTAAAAATATTTCTCTCTTTCCCTCCCTCCCTCTTTCTTTCTTTTTCTTTATCTCTCTCTCTCTCTCTCTCTTTCTTTCTCTCTTTCTCTTTTTCTTTCTCTCTTTTTCTCTCTTTTCTTTCTTTCTCTTTCTCTCTTTCTCTTTTTCTTTCTTTCTCTCTTTCTCTTTCTTTCTCTTTCTTTCTCTCTCTCTCTCTTTCTTTCTTTCTTTCTTTCTTTCTTTCTTTCTTTCTCTCATCCAGGATTTATTGGTCCTTGAAGAGCAAGAGGTAATCAGCAGGGCAATTTTTAAACTTTATTTTTATTTGCTTTTTAATATAATGACAAAAAAGGGAAAGAAAACCACAAAGCTCATTATGACCAATATACATATTTTGTCAGAGAAAATGGAAAAAAGCACATAGGAAGTGCTTTTTTAAAGAAGTGGGAAAAATACAACAAAGGGGGGGGGAAATAGTACATAATTTTAACAGTAAATAGTTACCATTCCATAGCTACTTATTTAATGCAAATATCCAAGCATGTCTATCCTTTAATACATTAATATGACTACAACTAGCTGTAAATGGGGCAAAACTCACAACAACTGTCTCGCTTAGCAACAAAAATGTTGGGCTCAATTGTGCTCGTAAGTCAAGGACTACCTTTACTGGAAACTTTGGTATAATTTTGTTCACACGTGCTTTCTCTGTCTCGCAGGGCTCCGTCAATTTCAAGTTTGGAATTCTTTATGCCAAAGATGGACAGCTAACAGATGATGAGATGTTTAGCAATGGTAAGTGTGCGATTGTCAAGTGTAGAGAACCAGGAGCATTTGTGGTGTTCAAAGCACAATGCTGTCTATATACAAGAATCTGGTCAACTAGCGGGCAAAACTAAGTTGGCACTAGATAAGGGTCAACGGAATTCACAGGACTTGGGTCTCTTGTGGCAACGCAAAGATTCCAAACTGAGGGCACATTTAACTCCGCCTTCCAGCTCAGCCTGCTCATCTCCTACACCATCATCTTTACTGCCCAATGGGACATCAAGTCTCAGTAGAACAGTTGGTGCTGAATTTAGGGTTTATGGGAACCGTCTCTTCAAATCTACACCTGTTCTGGTGTACTTGAAGAGGTTTCAGGCTCTTATGGTCTTCAGTGGAATTGTAGAACTTTCGTTTCTCCATCTAACCCACTCAAAAGTAACACCTCTCCCCCCCTTACTCTAAAGGCAAGGTGAAACGCAGAGGCATGCAACTGCCAAAGTTTCATCCTTCACATTGTTCTTGCCAGCAGGAAAAAAAAAAAAAACGCTTTTGCAGTAACTCTAATTTTCTTACAAATTTCATTTAAAGAAAAAAAATCTATTCAGCTGCTGCTGGTACAGCTCCATCTTGTCTTCTGTTAACATGTTTGCCTGCATTTCAAAATTTGTTTTCTCCTCCTGTCTTCCAACGGCAGCTAGAGATATTTCAGAATGTGCTTTCAGGAGATTCTGTGTTTACATGACTAAAAGTGCTGGCAACTCTTCATGCTGTGGTTATGTTTGCAAAGCCAGCTTGACATGTTTGTGTGCTCTGCCGCCAGATTGATGCAAAACAAACCCTCATTTGCTTGGCTTCCTCATCCCCATCCCAACAGGCTTTCCTTTGTTCTCGTCACCCAATAATCCGTGTTGTCAGGAACAGAATTCAGCTTGGCTTTTGAATGGAGCAACAGTTTTTTTTTTTAAAAAAAGATGCTGCTAAAAGCTTTTAAATCTATCTTCTGCCCTCTGTAGGTTTGGAACTGTTAGTACCCATCAGTTTAATTTTTCCTGTTTTTTTTTTTTCAACCATGCTTGCTTTAACCATTTGCTCTTTTGCCATATGTCCTTTCTAAGTTTTGAGGGAATGCATCTCTTGAATCAAACTGAATCAATCAGTGGAATGGCTTGTCTTCAGAAGTTATGGGTACTCCATCACTGGGGGGGGGGGATGAAGAAGAGATTGGACAGCCATTTGTCTGGAATGATACAGGGTCTCTTGTTTGAGAAGGGGGTTAGACTAGAAGACCTCCAAGGTCCCTTTCTCTTCTCTTCTCTTCTCTTCCCTTCCCTTCCCTTCCCTTCCCTTCCCTTCCCTTCCCATCCATTCCATTCTTGAAGAACCACCGTATCTTTTAGAATAGTATATGCCAGTTTAAGGTCACAGATTGTTGCTGGTTCTCTAACCATAAGTGCCACTTAGCAAAATGGGTGAACAAGAATAAGTGTTTGCATGTTGATTCCCAGCTGATCTCCGGCTTATCTTTATGTCCAGCCTAAGGAAAAAGGCCAGAGGAGGGAATAAAGAACAAAACAAACAAACCAGGAATCACCACCGACACAAACTGCAATGACATGCTGTGTCTTTAGAAAAGTTACAAGCTCTAGGCAGAAGTTACTGCTTGCCTGGGTCCTATGCTGTTGTATTTCTTTCAGAATAAAAAAAATAGCCGTTAGTTTTAAGGGAAATTTTGCAAAAATATTGAAATGCCACTGAAAACCACTGAAGCAACTTTATGGCGGGGTGTCAGGTGCTACACCTTGAGGTTGGGATGGAGAAGATGATGGTCAGCTTTTGAGATGAAGCAGGCTGGAGACACGCCTTTCGTCGTAATCTGCTGTGTCTTTTTTTGACACTCAAAACTACCTTTTGGCCTTCTCAACAGCCTAAGGATGTGCTTACCATCTCCCTATCCTATCCCTTCTCTGCTCCCCATTTCTCTCCGATATGTAGAGACCGGAAGTGAAAGTTTTCAGAGGTTGTTGAGTCTCTTGGGGGACACAGTGACTTTGAAGGGCTGGAACGGCTACCGAGGGGGACTGGACACCAAAAGTAAGTGGACCCTTGGTATTCTGTGTTCCTACTCAAGATAAATGTTGTGAAGGGAGGGGGATACTATTTTGCAAGGGGGAGGAAGATCTTTTGAGGACTCTATTCCAGAAACCCAACAAAGGCAGGATAAAGAGATTGGGTGTGTGTGTGTGTGTGAGAGAGAGAGTTTTGTCCAATGCAAATCAACTTAAATTGATGGAATTGAGTTGAGCTTGACATTTCATGGCCTTTAAATCGCTGGGATAAAAGCATTTAAAATAAGAATAAGAGAATTTTGGAAGAATTCTGGGTACTGTAGTTTTATAGGCAGTAGCAAGGAGCCGATCTGCATCATAGACAGATAGCCGTGCTGGTCAATTTCTGTTTTAGTCTCCTCTTTTGTCCTGGAAGCATCTGCAGATAAGATTCTACCTCCGTGTTTTTCAAAGTCGGCAACTTGAAGAGATGAGGACTTCAACTCCCACAATTCTCTAGCCAGCGTTCTGGCTGGAGAATCCTGGGATTGAAGTCCACATCTCTTAAAGTGGCCAACTTTGAAAAATAACACTAAACCAACCCACCCAAAATGTTATTATTTCTACGTCTTCTTCTTTTTTCTTTTTTTTGCAGATGACACAACAGGGATTTATTCCATCTATACCGTCTACCAAGGGCACGAAATCATGTTCCACGTCTCAACCATGCTTCCATACTCAAAAGAGAACAAACAGCAAGTGTGTGGCTTCTGGTATTGATTTCTCCTAGCGGGCTCTGAGCTGTGATCGCATGGAAGGAAAATAGAGGCTGAACAGCATTGAAGCATGTTTAGGAGATCCAGCATCGTTATGATAACAGGGGTTGGCAAGATCAAGTGCAGTGAAGAACAGTTCAATCGGTTAAATAATCTGAGTTTAGGCAAGGGAGGGTTAAAGGGAGAATCTTTGAATTGGAAGAGAGTAGAGTAGAGTAGAGCAGAGCAGAGCAGAGCAGAGCAGAGCAGAGCAGAACAGAAATTAGAAATTAGAAATTAGAATAGAATAGGAGATGGAGAACAGGTCTTCGCCTCCTCTATCTGTCTGATACTAGAAACATACTCACCCTTATTTTCTCAGATATATTTAATTTTCTCCAATGTATTTAATCTTAAATTTCCCTCTAATATGAGGGAATGTTTATAGCTCAGGGTTGAATTGAGGAACCCTTGATATTCTCTGGGCTTGTTTGTTTTCTTGCAGACATTTCATTACCCAACAAGGTAACATCATCAGTGCTAGAAAGGAGTGGGGTAGGGAGAGAAGGAGGAGGAAGAGAAGGAGGAGAATGGAAGAATGGAGATGGAGGAGGAGAAGGAGGAGGACTGTGCAATCCTTGCTGCTCTCTGAGCTTGTTTTCTTGCAGACGTTTCATTACCCAACAAGGTAACATCATCAGTGCTGGAAGGGAGTAGGGTTTGCACTGATGACATTACCTAGCTGGGTAATGAAATGTCTGCAAATAAACAGCCAAGGCTGGAGGGCACCAAGGGCCCCACAGTCCCCTATCCTAATTGCTCTTCGTTCCTCTACTGAGATGCAGTTGCGTGATTTTTGCCTCATGCTTAATAAACACAATTACAAAGCTATAGTTACATGTTAGGTGGGAAGCACCGAAAGTGAAAACCAAGACTTCACATGGACGTCCGATCGAGGGAATGCCGATAGGGAATCCTACGCTGAGGTCTGATTCTTCTTTCGCAGGTGGAAAGGAAGAGGCACATCGGAAATGACATTGTCACCATCGTGTTCCAGGAAGGAGAAGCAGCTTCACCAGCTTTCAAGCCGTCCATGATCCGTTCTCACTTCACACGTATCTTTCCCTGCAGTCCTTGACTTGTCACTTGTGTCTGCTATTTTCTCCTTTGAAACAGATTCGGTTTCTAACTTTCCCTCTGAGGTTTAATGGGGTGCTGTCTGATGTTGGGGAAATTCAGGAGATTCAGGCAGTTCTAATGAGTATAAAGATTAAATTGCAAGCTTAAGCGGTCTACAAGAATCTGAGCTACTAACAGTCAAGAGAAATGAGCGGGAGATAAGAGAGGCATTTAAGGTGGACTTAGATCTCTTGCGGGCACACAGGGACTCATGACTGATGATGCGTTTGACCCCTCCCTCCGTCTCAGCCTGATCACCTCCTACAACAAAAATCTAGCCATCCGTATCAAGAACCCCCCCTTGCCCTTGTAATCTTATAATTCTTTGACGAGATCACTTTGGAGAAGCGGAAGAGTTTAAGGAGATCCTTTAACCAAGAAGGGATTTCTTGGCATCACAGGTGGAACATCATAACTGGAATTCCAATAACTCTCAAGCGGGCTTCCAAACCTGGAAGCTGAAATTTAGTTAAATTACTTCCAAATGGGTTTGCTTGTACATTTGGGGACTTAGCAGGACCGAGGCGGCTACATCCCGGCTATTTTGTGTTTTTTACATTTGTGATAATGATCACCTTGGCTGCCGTCCGAGTGTAGTTTGGTGCCTGTATTGAAAATTTTACTGGACTGCTGAACTGGATCTTTCATTTTGGCCATGATTTGCTGAGGTGGGAGGGGAAATTATGATCCCCGGGCTTACTAACCGGAGATTGGTATCCTTAACTTAACCCTGCAGATATCTTTGCCTTAGTGCGATACAACAAACAAAGCGATAGCTACAGGTGAGTCTGGTCCAGCTACTCCTTCCTCGACAGCTGACTTATTGAGCCCAAACTTTCCGCCGCTCAATGAGACGTTTGTTAAGTGAGCTTTGCTCCGTTTTTTTACGATGTTCCTTGCCACCGTTGTTAAGTGAATTCCTGCAGGGGTTAAGCGAGTCCACAAGATGGTTAAAGGAATAATTCTATGCTCCAAATGATCAGATTTTCATTCTCGCTTTCTCTCCTTCCTTCGCAGGCTGAAAATCTTTTCTGAAGAGAGTGTTCCTCTTTTTGGACCACCGCTTCCCTCCCCGCCCGTGTTTACCGACCACCAGGAGTTCAGGGATTTCCTTCTGGTGAAATGTAAATATTAAACATTCCTCCTCTGCTATCTTAAGCTTAATCTTGGCATCAAGATGCTTTCCTGAAATTGCCCTGCAAAGCCACAAAGGATTTCCTGCCTGGACAGCAGGCTGGACTAGATGACCTCCAAGGTCCCTTCCAACTCTCCTATCCTCTTTTGTGCAGTGATCAACGGGGAAAAAGCCACCTTGGAAACACCCACCTTTGCTCAGAAGCGACAACGAACCCTTGACATGTTAATCCGCTCCTTATACCAGGATCTCATGCCTGACATGCACAAGGTAAGCCCTCCCCTGTCTGGATGCGGGCCAACCTCCTGCTTTAAATCACATCTTCCAAAACCTCCAGTCTTTCTTGAGTGGTCAGCCTCTTTCTTCAACTTCCGGCCCTGGCGCTTGGTTGTGTTTGTTTCTAGAACATGCTTAACAGGAGATCCTTTAGCGACGTTTTGCCCGAGTCTCCCAAATCAGCCCGGAAGAAAGAAGAGGCCCGGCAGGCAGAATTTGTCCGGCTTGGCCAGGTACGTGTTTATAGGTGAGCAGTGTGGTGGGTTTTTATCAGGAGGAGGAGGAGATGTTTGAGGAAACCTGGAGAACATCTGGAGATGTCTTCCAAGGGGGGGGGGACACAATAGCAGTGCTCCAATATTTGAAGGGATGTCCCAAAGACTAGGAGGGGGTCAACCTCTTCTCCAAAGCCCCTGAAGGCAGGACAAGAAGCAACGGATGGAAACCAATCAAGGAGAGAAGAATTGAGGAGAAATTTCCTCAATTAACCAGTGGAACGGCTTGTCTCCAGAAGTTGTGGTGCTCCAATGCTGGAGGCTTTTAAGAAGAAACTGGACCACCATTTGTCTAAAATGGTGTAGGATTTCCTACATGAGGTTGAATTCGAAGAATTACTAGACAAGCTAAATTCTACTTTATTGCAATTCTACCTTAACAGAATATTATTATTATCATTATCATTATTATTTCTCCCTTTGAAGGCCCTCAAATTGAAGACCATTGTGAGGGGAGACGCCCCAACTATTTTAGCCACTACAAGCCTTTGTAAGAAAGAGGTGAGTGAATCGTTCATGGGCAAAAACCTTTTGCAAGGAGGAAGGCCGTTTGTCTTCAAAGAAGATCAGCCCGCTTGCGGTACAAACCCACTGGATCCTTTGCACAGTTCAAAGGAATGCCACAAAAATGTTGTTGCTCTTAACAAACCAACGTCCCTTTTTTCATTTTTCATTTGAGAAATTTTGGGCGATGGGGACACGGGACACGGGACACGGGTGGTGAGGATGCAATTCTAAAGCAATTAAGGACACCTTAATTTCCAAGGTGTCCTTTCTCTCTCTTTCTCTCTCACTCTTTCTCTTTCTGTTTCTCTCTCTCTCTCTTTATCTCTCTCTTTCTGTCTGTCTCTCTTTCTGTCTCTCTGTCTCCTCTCCTTGTCTGTTTCTCTCTTTCTGTCTCGTGTCTCTTTCTCTCTCTCTCTCTCTCTCTCTGTGTGTGTCTCTCTCTGTCATTCCGCTTTCTCTGTCTCTATCTTTCTCTGTCTCTCTTTATGTCTCTTTCTCTCTCTGTCTCTCTGTCTCTCTCTCTCCATCAACTCACCATCCATCATTATCTTCCTCTGCAGCCCTGGGAATCCCAATGCTTCTGCAGCAATTTCCCGCACGAAGTCATTTGTGCCGATTCCTGGGGACAGTCCCTGCTGGTCTCAACGGATGTTGGTGTCCTTCTCCTAGACGGTGAGTAGACCATCCCACCGTTGTGTGGAAGTCTGTACTTTTGATTCTTCCTCATTGCGAAACACGTGGATTTTAGCTAAATTTCCTCTTTCGAGATGCCATAGAGAGCTCTCGGCCATCTTCCCGGGCAGGTTTTTTATTTTTCAGAGAGAGCGATGCTTTGCTTTCCGCCTAGTTCCTGAAAATATAGGTGTCAGTTTTTGCCATGAACCCCAGTTAGAAATCTAACAGAGCTACTTTAGCATCCTTCTGCTTCATGGCTTTTTAAAAAGAAAAAAAAAGAAAAGAAATTAGAGACCTTTTGCTACAGAAAAGACCATCACGTTCTGAAATGGTTGTGCGTTTTTTTGTGTGTGTGTAGGTGTCATTTAATTAGATTGTCCACAATATCCTACAAACCACATGCTTAAATGCTCCCTGAACGTGGTTGTTTTCTTATAGATGTTTCATGACCCAACTAAGTAGCATCATCAGGGTTAGAAGCAAAGCCCACTCATTCCCTTCTGTCACTGAAGCGGCTACCTAGTTGGAAAATGAAACGACTGCAAGAAAACCACAAAGCTCAGAGGACGCACCAAGGAAGCCACACACCCTATTCTTGCGTAGCTATTCCAGAGGTTGAATGCTTTGCAATCTTCCCTTTCCAGATGGGCAGCCTCTCATCCCAGTGTTCGACAAAACCTTGCAGATCAAACAGATGCACGTACTTGAAACATTGGACCTTCTAATTACTAGAGCAGACAAAGGTAAGAAAAACCATTGAGCCATTTGAGAAAACAATATTCCTCAACGTCATAAAAGAGGGCTCAGGAATGGAGCCTCAAAAGCCCTTTTTTTCAAAAGGCAACTGGACTTTGGTTCCCCCCCTCCCCCCCTTGAATACATTTCAGTTCTCACTGAAGAAGCACTGACTGGATTGTGGGGAAGGGAAGGATCTATATTCCTTGCAGAATCCTGCATCCAGTTTTGGTCACCATGATGTAAAAAAGATGCCAAGACCCTAGAAAGAGTGCAGAGAAGAGCAATCAAGATGATCAGGGGACTGGAGGCTAAAGCATATAAGGGACGATTGCTGGAATTGGGTCTGTCTAGTTTAATGAAGAGAAGGACGAAGGGGGGCATGATAGCAGTCTTCCAATATCTCAGGGGCTGCCCCAAAGAAGAGGGAGTCAAGCTATTTTCCAAAGCGCCTGAAGGCAGGACAAGAAGCAACGGGTGGAAACTAACCAAAGAGAGAAGCAACCTAGAACTAAGGAGAAACTTCCTGACAGTTAGAACAATTAACCAGTGGAACAACCTGCCTCCAGAAGCGGTGAATGCTCCAACACTGGAAGTCTGCACAGCCATTTGTCCGAAATGGTATAGGGTTTCCTGCCTGAGCAGGGGGTTGGACTAGATGACCTCCAAGGTACCTTCCAATTTTATCATTATTATTATTAGCTGATCCTTTGCATTCTTGAAATCTGTGGTGCGGGAATATGAATGGATTTCCAGAAAGCATTGCAGACTGCAGGAACCGTTTGCGCTTCAGTTTGAGAGGCAGAGAACACAGATTCATCCCCAACAAGGAAGGGACCCAGGGCAGAAAACATCCTGCAGCCAAGAAGGCTCCACATCCATTTGCATTGCTCAGGTGACCCTGAGGATGCAGGTGAACCTCCAAGTGGCCTCAACGACTCACTAAAAGAGTGCAAAGGACCAAGCGGTCTGCAGAGAGTATAAATCCTTCCATTCCCCACCATCCAGTCAGAGTTGAAGAAGCTTCTTGGATGAGAAGCGAAACGTCTTCATGGAAAAACAAAAAAGTCTAGATGCCCCCTGGGGAAAAAAAAGCACCTTTGAGACTGTCTCCCTCCCTCTAATTGGAGAACTTGAGTATCTGGCCCGCAGTAGGATGTTTGGTCCTTACAATGTACTTTGTGTCAGCTGTCCTCCTGCAGAGCAAAAGTGGGACACTAACGAATTACGATGTTGATGGTCATGGAGAATCACGATGAGGTAGCTCTCTTGATGAGGTTGTTTGCCCTTCCACCCCGTAGGCAAGGAGGCACGGCTTCTGGTGTTCAGGCTGAACGTCCTGTGGAAAGGCGTCGAAGCCCGGCTAAGCAGGAGCAAAAGTGAATGTCGAGAAAACAAGCTGGAGAAAACAAAAGGTACTGCAGAACTATCTGGTCAGAAATCAAACCACGATCCTGAATTAGTAGCTTTGATCAAATGACTGGGCTGTCTCTTTGAAGACAGGGGGTTAAACTATTTTCCAAAGCACTAAAAGGCAGGACGAGAAGCAACGGATGAAAACTAACCAACGAGAGAATCAACCTAGAACTAAGGAGAAACTTCCTGACAGTGAGAATAATTAACCAGTGGAACAGCTTGCTACCAGAAGTTGTGGGTGCTCCATCACTGGAGGCTTTCAAGAAGAGACTGGACAACCATTTATCTGAAAGGGTATAGGATCTCCTGCTGAAGCAGGTCCCTTCCAGCTCTCTTATTCTATGTTCTATGTTCAGTTTTGAGGAAGAAAGATCTGCATCTCACTGGGCTTCAGGAGAAAAGCTTAACCTGAAAGTTGTTAGCTCCCCTCTCATGTTTTTTTTTTTTTTTTTGCATCATGGTTTGTTTGGGAAATTTCCCTTTGGACCATTCCTGATGCCTCTAACCTCTGTCCTCCAGGCTGCCATCTGTACGCCATCAACACCCACCACAGCAACGAACTGCGGATCATCGTCGCCATCCGAAACAAGCTCCTTCTCGTCACCCGGAAGTTCCGGCGGTGGGAGACTCTGAACGGTGCCCCCTTGGTGTCCCCCCAATCAGAATCCCCCGTAGAGGAGTTCCAGTACATCAGGGTAGGTTTGAGGTAAAGCATCAGCAGATGAGTCGCCGAGATAAAACCGTGACAGAGGAAAGAGGTTGGTGTTTCTCAACCTTGACAGGTTCAAGTCACGTGGACTTCAACTCCCAGAATTCCCCAATCAGCTGAGTTCCACACATATTAAAGTTAATGAGGTTGAGAAACAGCAAGCTAGGCTGATAGTCAACTCATAGCAGAGAATCTTTGTAGCTCAGGGATGAGTTGTAGGGTCCCTGATGCTCTCCGAGCTTGGTGGCTTTCTTACAGACCATTTCATGACCCAAGTAAGTAACATCATCGAAAGCAAATCTCACTCTTTTCTAACTGTTGATGTTATCTAATTGGGTCATGAAACATCTGCAAGAAAACCACCAAACTCAAAGAGCGTCCAGGATCCTGATAGTCATGGTAGAATTCCTCTTGTTTATTATTTGGTGCATATATTGCTCCCATCAATATCTGTTTTTGATTGATCACGATTCCTACCATTAAAATTCTTTCTTCTTCATCTGAGTAGACCTGTTTGGAATCCAGAGTCCCTTTAATGTATCAAGCTACTCCTCTTTTCTTTGGATGTGCTGAGGTAGAATAGAGTTTCCCAATTTTCGGACGTCCCAGTAATTTATAATGTTGTTTTTTTATATTTGTTTCTTGGAGGCAAATTATATCCGTTTTTAATTTTTGTAATGTTGTGAAGATTTTTTCCCCTTCTTGATGGGGAGTTTAATCCATTTATATTCATTGAGAGAATTCCACTTTCCTTCTCCATCTTATTGACTTATACTTAGGTTTTATTCTCCTCGTGGTCCTTTTACATCTCTGTTCTCTTGCCACTCCCTCTCCTTCTTGATCTGTATTTTCTTCTTTCTTTCTTTCTTTCTTTCTTTCTTTCTTTCTTTCTTTCTTTCTTTCTTTCTTTCTTCTTCTTCTTCTTCTTCCTTCTTCTTCTTCTTCTTCTTCTTCTCCTCCTCCTCCTCTTCTTCTTCTCCTCCTCCTCTTCTTCTTTTTCCTCCTCCTCCTCTCCTCCTCCTCCTCCTCCTCCTCCTCCTCCTCCTCCTCCTCCTCCTCCTCCTCCTCCTTCTTCTTCTCTTTGTGTAGCTGTCTCTTCTGTTACTAGCTCTTTCTATTTTTTATATTCCCTATCCACTTGGGTTTCTTGTGTTTTTTCTTCAAAAAAACCTTCTTTGGGAGAAGTCAGGAGCGACATTTCCTAATTGGTAACACAAAGACTCTGTCTTGAGGTGCAGAGAAATCTATCAATTCCTTGAAAAAGCCAAAAACCTTAACAGACAATAGGAATTCCAGTTAGGAGACATCCTTAACTTGTCTATGTTATTCTTCACATTCAGCATTTTTGGGGGGTCTCTTCCCACCGAATTTCACCGTTTCCTTTTTTGCGGCGTCTGATTTTTCGGTTGCAGGAAATCTGCTTGTCCGATCCTCCTGTGGTCATGACCTTGGTGGACGGCCCCACCGGCGAAAACGACAACCTGATCTGCGTGGCCTACCGACACCAGTTTGACCTGGTCAGCGAGAGCACGGGCGAGTGCTACCGAATGCACAACGTTGACGCGAGCAGGGTAGGTCCAATAGACAATTCAGTAGACCCACTCAGAATTAGGTTCCTGATGAGCCCGTTGGAGGATCCTGTCTTGAGAACTGGATGGGGAAGAAACTGAGGTGTTTTCCCGATAGTCTAGTGTATTTGGAACAGTACATCGTTTTCATCATCACGATATTAAAAAAAAAAAAATGTTGAGACTCTGGAAAGAGTGCAGAGAAGAGCAACAAAGATGGTTAGGGGACTGGAGGCTAAAACATATAAAGGACGGTTGCAGAAATTGGGTGGGTCTAGTTTAATAAAAAGGAGGACCAAGGGTGACATGATAGCAGTCTTCCAATATCTGAGGGGCTGCCCCAAAGATGAGGGGGTCAAGCTACTCTCCAAAGCGCCTGAAGGCAGGACAAGAAGCAACAGATGGAAACTAATCAAGGAGAGAAGCAACCTAGGAGACATTTTTCCAACAGTGAAAATCAGCGGAATGGCTTGCCTCCAGAGGTTGTGGGTGCTCCATCCCTGGAGGTTTTCAAAAAGAGACTGGACAGCCATTTGTCTGAAATGGTGTAGGGTTTCCTGCCTGGGCAGGGGGAGGGGTTGGACTAGAAGACCTCCAAGGTCCCTTCCAAGAAGCAATGGATGGAAACTAATCAAGGAGAGAACCAACCTAGAACTAAGGAGAAACTTCCTGACAGTGAGGACAATTAATCAGTGGAACAACCTGCCTCCGGAAGCTGTGGGTGTTCCAACACTGGAGGTTTTTAAGAAGAAGACATTGGACAATCCTTTGTCTGAAATGGCGTAGGATCTCCTACCTGAGCAGGGGGTTGGACTAGAAGACCTCCAAGGTCCCTTCCAACTCTTATTATTCTATTCTGTATTCTGACATTCAGGAAAGCTAAGACAAAGATCTGGTTCTAAAATGAAACAAAAAATTAATTGACGTCCTGCCATCTTCCATGGCCAAAGGCGAACCGTTGGGTTCTTGGAAGGTTACTTGAAAATTTAGTGGGGTAGAGTAGATCAGCTTGAGCGGGTACATGAAACCATCACCAGAGACAGTTCTCTAGAGCAGAAGTCCCCAACCTTTTGGGCACCAGGGACCGGTTCCGTGGAGAGAGGGTTTTCCACGGACAGGAGGGTACATGATTTTGTGTGCTGCCTGCATCCCACGGATGGGGCTTTGCTTGTTTGTGTGGACCGATTGCTGGCATCCCATGGCCCGATACTGGTCCACGGACCAGGGATTGGGGACCCCTGCCCTAGAGAGTACAGCGTCTGGGAGCTAAAGGGGAGGGAGAAAGGAGATCCTCGAACTACATTGCAGTCAGCTTGGCCTCCAGCCTGCCCACTATCCTTGCCCATTATCATTGCAGGTTAATTTTGTTGCAGCTATTGATGTGTATGAAGATGGAGAAGCTGCCCTCCTATTGTGCTATAACTGTAAGTACCGCTGTCTCCCTAGAAGCGCCGAAGACGCTGAGCCTTCTCTGGCGTCAACCCATCTCTTTTTCTTGTTTCCTTCTCTGTTGCAGATGTTTGCTATTACCGCAAAGTCTGCCCCTTTAACGGAGGCACAGCTCTGGTCCAACCTCTGGCATCAGACTACCACTTCAGCTGGAACCAGATTCCTTATGCGATCGGTAAGAAAACTGCGCTGCGGGTGTCCCAAAGGTGTTTTTTGTCACGAGGCAACTGGACTCTCTTGTTTTCCTTTGAAGACATTTCGCTTCTCATCCCAGGAGCAGCTCTGAGTGGACGGTGGGGAATGGAAACAACATAGGAGAACAAAGCCATCAGGACAAGAGTCAGCAGTCCATCTATGTTTGAAAGACAAAGGCCATTCTTTTGAAGTTTTGGACAGAGAGGACCACTGGTTTGAAAGAGGGTTCAAAGAGGCAATCTAGGTCAAAACTGAACAGCCCTCTCTCAACAGAGGGGGAGGGATCCAACGTCATCTATCGCTAATCTACCACACAGTCTTTTCAACAGTTCCAAGAAGGCTCCACATCCATTTGCGCTATTCTTGGATGAGAAGCGAAACGTCTTCAAAGAAAAAAAGAAAGTCCAGTTGCCTCGTGATAAAGCATCTTTGGGATAACTATGACCTGGATGACTTGAGAATCTTCATAGACATTAAGCTGTGGTTGACTTTTAGCTGGGAGGTTGACCAGCAGCACATCTGGAGAGCTTGAGGAATGCCTGTGACCTTCTGGATCTGAACTGCTTCTGGGTTGTCTTCTTCATTAAGGACCTCCTCTTTCCCCCAACCCCTTGTCTCCTGCAGTTTGCGCCTTTCCTTACATCTTGGCCTTCACTAATGACTCCATTGAGATCCGCTTGGTGGTCAACGGGAACCTCGTCCATACAGCGGTGGTCCCAGCCTTGCAGCTGGTGGCTTCAAGGGTAAGGAGAATGGGCGGAACCTGATCTGCCGCATCTATTCCCTTTCCCCCACCCAGACTGTTCTCACCATTTTGGGTTAGCTCTGAGATGTTTGAGCCCTCCATCACCTCTTCTCCAGCCCCTCTTGGTTAGTGAGTGAATTAATCAACCCTTCATTAAATTTCCACCCTGCTTCAGTTGTACAGCCAAGACACATTTCCCATTCGTGAGGTCTACTAAAGCTTGGGAACTTTCTCTCAAAAACGTTTGAGTCTTTGAAGGTTTTTAAGAAGAGATTGGACAACTGTTTGCCTGAAATGATAACAGGGTTTCCTGCACAAGCAGGAGGTTGGTCTAGAAGACCTCCAAGGTCCCTTCCCAACTCTGTTCTTCTGTGTGTGTAGTGGACGAGAAGTTCAGTTCTTGTTAAGTTTGAAGAGCCTCTTCTTTCTCAGCCTCAGTTGTTCCAATCCTTTTTAAAGATGAGAGACTTCTTTTTTTAAAAAAAATTTAAATTATTTTTCACCATACACCATACACCCAAACAAACTTAAAATACATAAACATAAATCTTTTCTTTTAACAGAACAGTACTATACATTTTAAGCATTCTTTACATCTTATTTACATTTTATGTACATCAATAATTATGTCTTTTCCTTTCTCTGTTCTAGCCAATTATAACATTTATTCCAAATTTCATAAAATTCTGTCGCCTCCTTGTCTTTTAATTCTAACGTAAGTTTATTCATTTCTGCGCATTCCAAGATTTTGTACATATATCATTTGTGGGAATATTTTCACTCTTCCAACATTGAGCATATGCTATACGAGCTGCAGTCAATATGTGTATAATGATATGTTGGAGTTGTTTTCCCATCTTTAAATTTGTTATGCCCAAAAGAAATAATTCTGGTTTAAAATCCATTTGTATCTCCGTTATCTCCTGTATCCAATCTCTTATTCGTTCCCAATAATTTTTTGCTTTGGGGCACAGCCACCACATGTGATAAAATGTTCCTTCTCTGATTTTACATTCCCAATAATTTTTTGCTTTGGGGCACAGCCACCACATGTGATAAAATGTTCCTTCTCTGATTTTACATTCCCAATAATTTTTTGCTTTGGGGCACAGCCACCACATGTGATAAAATGTTCCTTCTCTGATTTTACATTCCCAATAATTTTTTGCTTTGGGGCACAGCCACTACATGTGATAAAATGTTCCTTCTCTGATTTTACATTCCCAATAATTTTTTGCTTTGGGGCACAGCCACTACATGTGATAAAATGTTCCTTCTCTGATTTTACATTCCCAATAATTTTTTGCTTTGGGGCACAGCCACTACATGTGATAAAATGTTCCTTCTCTGATTTTACATTCCCAATAATTTTTTGCTTTGGGGCACAGCCACCACATGTGATAAAATGTTCCTTCTCTGATTTTACATTCCCAATAATTTTTTGCTTTGGGGCACAGCCACCACATGATTTTACATTTCCAACACTTCAGGTCTATATTTTTATACATTTTAGCCAATCTCGCCGGTGTTGAACGCCAATAAAGATGAGAGACTTCTGTTAGACAAGGGCTGGGAGAAGCCACATTTGCTAACTCAACTCACTTCTCCTTCCAGTCAGATATCTACTTCAGAGCAGCCACGGCTGTGAGCGAGGTGTCTAACAGCAGTTCGAAGGAGACCAGCTTGCCTGGGTCCCCTCAGACGCCTTCCGTTCAAGAAAATCTCATTTTCTCTCCTTCCTCAGCAGAAGGTAAGCTGGGCTGAAGGCCAACAAGCGGCTGATTGCTAAAGCACTGGTCCTTTCCTACCTCGATTCCAAATATTGGACTTTCTGTTTTATCCTATCACAGAGGTTAGGCTGCCTCGGGGGGGAGGGGGGATCAGATAACTGTTCTTCCTAGAAGGAGCAGATAAGGAGGGAGACCCAGGCGACACAGTATTGAATAACTGGAGGTTGTATAAATATTTATAGAAGCATATACCGAGAAGGTTATTAATGTAAGAGAAAATTAATCTTATTGTATATAATACAGATAGGGAAATTTGGAGAGAGGAGTTGCTCGGACATTACCCCTGAATTGTATCTGAAGAGGGATGAGAGGGACGAAAGGAGAGGAGAGAGAAAAGAGTAAAGGAGGGGAGAAGGGAGTAGGAAGGTTGGAGGAGAAGAGGAGAAGTGGGGAGAAAGGGAAGGAGAGTGGTGAAGGAAAGAGAAGAGGAGAGGAAGAAGAGGGAAGTAGGGAAGAGAAGAAAGGGAGAAAGAAGGTAGAGAAGAAGGAGTGTGGATACAGTGAAAGGGAAAATGGGCGAGCCACACCAAAAGTCATGTGTGTGTATTTATCTCATTTTATGAAAAGTACTTCTATATATGAATGTAAAAAGAATGCATGTTAACATCTGATAAATGTCACGGTATATGTATGGGGGAGAGTTTGGAAAAATAAAAAAAAATATTAAAAAAAAAAAAAAGGTAAGTGTTCTTCCTCAGAAATATGTCTGGAGATTCTCAGTCCTCCAGCTCAGGGTTGTCCCAAAGGTGCTCTTTCAGGAGGCAACTGGACTTCCTTTGTTTTTCCTTGAAGACGTTTCGCTTCTCACCCAAGGAAGCTTCTTCAGCTCGGACCAAGAAGCTTCTTCAGTCAGAACGGAGGATGAGACGCGAAACGTCTTCAAGGACAAAAAAGCACCTTTGAACTGGAAGCGGCTTAGCATCTCCTGGAATCCCTGCAGCGAGTCAAGTCAATAACATGGTCCTTAAATGAGTCTGGATTGACTTTGCTGCTCAGAAGGTCACAAAAGGGACCCCCCCTGGGACGCTGCAACCGTCGTTGCCGAGCGTCTGGATTTTGATCATGTGACCCTGGGGAGGCGGCTGCAAGGGTGATAACTGTGAACAACAGTCGTAACTTCCGACGGTCGCTAAATGAACTAAATCGAGGACTACCTGCAATGTGAGCGTGCGTGCGTGGAAGGCAAAGCTTCCAGAAATGCTTGATTGACCACCGGCTCTTTGGCCAGCCGTCTGAAGCCACGTCGGGTGTCAGCGTCGTTCTCTTCCTCCTTCCAGGTGAAGCTTTGGGCCGAAATATCTACAAAATCCCCCTCAGCAATCTGGTGGGCAGGAGCATCGAGCGCCCGCTGAAATCTCCCATGGTGCCCAAGGTCATCACCACCCCGACGTCGGCTGGCATGGCCCCCGTGCCCGTCGCACCTTCCCTCTCCTTGTCGCGGATAGAGATCAAACAGATTGCCAGCAGAACCCGCAAGGAACTGCTCGGTAAAGTTGGCAACATGTTCTGGGTATCCTATGAAACAGGACTTTACAGACATGGGGCCACCAACTCTAGGGCCAGGGGAAAGTTCTGAGGTGGTATCGTCAAAATCAATCAATCAATCAGAACAGAGTTGGAAGGGACCTTGGAGAGGTCAATTTGAGACAAGTGGCTGTCTAGTCTCTTCTTAAAAACCTCCAGGGATGGAGCAGCCACAACTTCTGAAGCACCCACTGGTTAATTGTCCTCACTGTCAGGAAGTTTCCCCTTAATTCCAGGTTGCTTTATTGTTTTTCTATTATTATTATTATTATTATTATTATTATTATTATTATTATTATTATTATTATTTCTGGCAATTATTACCCACCTTAAGAGAACTTTCCTGAAGTTAGAAAAGCAAGCAGGGAAACATCTCCCAAGGATTGACGGATATCCTTCCCTGGATTCTGTAGGCCTCTTAAATGATCCTTCTTCCAAGTCCGAAGGTGGTCCAAAGCAGAAGAAGCTTCCATCAAAATCATCAGAACCCAAACAGGGAACTCTACGGTCCTCGAGCAGTGACAGGTAAGCAGCGATCGACACAAGAGAGAGTTGGAGTGAGGCTACAGGTGAGGCAAATGAATAGAATAGAACAGAACAGAACAGAACAATAGAATATGAAATGGAGAGAGTAGAGTGGAGTGGAATGGAATGGAACAGAACAGAACACTACAGTACAGAACAGAACAATAGAATATGAAATGGAGAGAGTAGAGTGGAGTGGAATAGAATAGAATAGAATAGAATAGAATAGAATAGAATAGAATAGAATAGAATAGAATAGAATAAAATAGAATAGAATAGAATAGAATAGAATAGAATATGAAATGGAGAGAGTAGAGTAGAGTAGAGTAGAATGGAATAGAATAAACGGAATGGAATAGAATAGAATAGAGCTGGAAGGGACCTTGGAGGTCTTCTAGTTCAACTGTGATGGCTAAACCTTTCTAAGATCACAGCCTCTTCTACAACGCACCCTGCCCTCTTCCCATTTCTGCTTTCCTCTCCCCAGGCTGCTTGTGACCTCCTTCCAGAGCAGTTCCGAAGACCCCCACTTCTCTACTGGCTCAGACGTTGACCCTGCCCCACTGGAGGAGGAAGAGGGCCAGCCCAGCGCTCTCTTCCAACTTGGGGCCTCCTTTGAGGAAGGTGCCATTGACTTGAAGTGAAGACAACCGGGACAATCAATCTTTGCACGCAACTCTCCCGTCCCTCCCTCCCTCCTGTTCTCTGCCATTGACACCCCCTCCCGCCCCCGTTTTGTACAGCCCTCTAAAACGGTATCCATCACAGCAAAAAAGCCCTAGTAATTTTAGAAAGGGGTCTCCACGTGCGATCCAAGAGGGGAACCGAAGGATCCAACTTTGGATGCCTTGAATTGTTTCAGTTGATGGATTGATCGAACGAGAGGCCAGGTGTGCGTGCGTGTGCGTATAGTCCTTTTGGTGATAAGAGGCGATCAGCCAGTTCTTTTGTGGTATTGTTGAAAAACAAAGCTCGGGTGAAGGATCCGATGAGTTTTAATCAGTGCGTTGATTAAACGTCTCTCTATTTTCACGTGGGATTTCAAGGAACGGACTGCTTACAGTTCAGGGGTGGGGCGAGTCCTAAGTGCCCCCCCTCCTTCATGGCAATAGCCAACAGTCATGTTCCCTTTCTCCATCAGTACTAGAGGACAGTTGCTGGGGATTGTCCCCAGATTAGGAGATTAGAATGGAAAGAATGGAGAATGGAAGTTTTCTGACAGACATTTCTCCTGGTTGGGAACTAGAAGGAGAGTCCTGGGTCCGTGCTGAGGATGGCCTCCATCTTCCTTGTCTGAAACAGGAGCTATTCAGGGCTCCTGCCTCCTCTAGGGTCTTAACTTATATTATAATTGTAATATAATTATATATTACATAGCTGCAGAGAAGCAGGGAGTCATTGCAATCTGCCTGCGAGGACAATCCTAGAAGCATTTGGTTTGTCACTGCAGGGCAAAGGCTGATGGACCTGAAGATCACAATTCAAAGGTGTATTGGTGTGTGGAGTTGCCCCCCCACACACACAAACACACAAATCCTGTGCATGACTTCCAAACTATGATGCGATCAGAAGGCAGCGATTATTAGCCTAACTATGGTTGAGTCATCTCTACTTAATCAACTGCTTTGGCACACTCGAAATTAGATTGTGCGTTCTTGAAATAGGTTTTTTGGTCTGATCGGGGGGGGGGCGATAATAAGAAATCTGGAATTCTTTAAAAGGTGTGACAGAATAACAGAGTTGGAAGGGATTCTGGGAGGTCTTCTAGTCCAACCCCCTGCTCAAACAGGAAATCCTATCCCATTTTAGACAAACAGTTGTCTAGTCTCTTCTTGAAAAACATCCAGAGATGGAGCACCCACAGCGTAACCCCAAATATATAAGCATTGTCCACATAACGATGGTTGCTTCTACTTGTTGAGGAACCTGATCAATTGAAAACAAAAAAAAACATTGCAGTTCTGTTAAACCATAAGGCTTTGCTCTTCGGTTCCCAACCGATAGACAGAACAGGCCTTTCTTAAGCCGAGCATCTGTTCTTTCCCTTCTCGCCTCGTTTTCTTATTTTGATTCTACCTCCCCCATTTCTGCCAACTGGAAAGAAAAGTTTAGACATAAACCGCTGTCTGTTTATCTCTGGACGTCTCCGAAAAATAACTACAAGCCTAAAGCCTTGTTCTCTTTGGATGGGTGACTTCTCCTAGCAAATGTGAACTGACTGGCCGAAGAGTTTAAACTTTAAGGTGACCACCCAGGCTAAGAGCTACTGGGATCCATGAACCGGTTAATGAGTTCACGAGTTCAAAAAAAGTCAAGGAGACCTTGTAAAAGACACTGAAGCTACTTCCAACCTTGGTTAAACAGGTTTGGAGGTTTCAAAAAGATGGCAGCCTGTTTAACCAGAGGCAAGGTGGCACAGGAAACGTGCCCTGGCCGTCTCTTGGGAGGGAAGTCTCTCTCAAAGCCGTCTTTTGTCTCAACGATGTTTGCCCGTGCCCTAACCCATCCCCTTCGCCCTTCCTCACAATGGTAGTTTCTGCCCTGTGGTTTATTCAGACACCCTTGTCTCAATCATCCAGCTCAAGGTGCTTTTCCAAACTGAACTGTCTTGGCTTCTGCCTTGAAAAAACTCAATGACTCTCAGAGGGAGTACTAACGACCAGGTGACTGCAAAGAATATAAATCCTTCCATTCCCCACCGTTCAGTTAGAACTGAAGAAGCTTTTTGGATGAGAAGCAAAACGTCTTCAAGGGGGGGAAAAACAAAACAAGAAAGTCCAGTTACTTTTTGGAAAAGACACGCTTGGTTCAGACACCCTTAAAGACCAGATCTCTATCTGAAAAGTCAGTAGCCCTGCCACAGGAGACGTACACTGGCACCCAACGGCCGTCCTCTGCTCCGATTCCAACATTTCCTTGCCAAGTTCATCAAGTTGACTCTGATTGGTCCTCCCTTGCACAGATAATCCTGCTCTGCTCGTTTATTTATGTATGTATTTATTTATTTATTGCCCCCAATCAGAAAACCAAGCAATATTTTCAGGTAACCCATGTCCTTCCAAGAACCAAACGGTTCGCCTTTGACCACGGAAGACGGCAGGTTATCACTTTTTTTCCCCGTTTTTGAACACCCAATCCTTGTCTTAGCTTTCCTGAATGTCAGAATACAGAATAACAAAGTTGGAAGGGACCTTAGAGGTCTTCTATCCAACCCCCTGCTCAGGCAGGGGACCCTACACCATTTCAGACAAATGACTGTCCAATCTCTTCTTAAAAACCTCCAGTGTTGGAACACCCACTACTTCTGGAGGCAAGTTGTTCCACTGATAAATTGTTCTCACTTAGTGTCAGGTTGGTTCTCTCTTTGATTATTTTTCATCCGTTGCTTCTTGTCCTGCCTTCAGGGGCTTTGGAGAACAGGTTGTCCCCCTCCTCTTTGTGGCAGCCCCTTAGATATTGGAACACTGCTATCCTGTCTCCCGTAGTCCTTCTCTTCAATTCCTGCAAGTGTCCTTCCTATGTTTGAACCTCCAGCCCCCTAATAATCATCTTTGTTGCTCTTCTCTGCACTCTTTCTAGAGACTCAACAATTGAGACTCCAGTTGTCAGCTTCCTTCCTTCCTTCCTTCCTTCCTTCTTCCTTCCTTCCTTCCTTCCTTCCTTCCTTCCTTCCTTCCTTCCTTCCTTCCTTCCTTCCTTCCTTCCTTCCTTCCTTCCTTCCTTCCTTCCTTCCTTCCTTCCTTCCTGGTAGCATCTGTTCTGAGACTAGAACAAGGCAGGTCTAAGGAAGGGATTCCCACCACTGAGGGTGGTGATCTCCAGTTTGCAACCCTTCCTGGTGGATCTTCCATCCCACCTCGGTGTCCTACCTCTTTTGCCCACCAAGGTTCCATGATCCCAGCCCCCCTCTGCCTTTGCCTAATTGCCTTATGTTTTCCTCATTGGACAGAGCAGTTAATCCATCTCGGGCGGGATGGCTATATATCGAACAAATTTTTTGACTGTTTGGAGTTCCCACGGAAGCCAGGCCTCTAAGCAGATAAAACCTTGCACTCTTGGCTGGTGAGAAAACCAGCCGCTGAGCTTCTAGAGTTCATAGAAGAGCGTCCTTGAGTTGGATTTGCAGGTGGAAAAAAATAAGCATCAAATGTTTATTTTCCCACCACCACCACCACGTTCCTTGAAGGGCACAAGTTACGAGCTGATCGGTGCAAATCTTCGGCCCTTTTTCCACATCTCACAAACACTGGTTCCCAAAAACCGTCAGCCTGCACAGCTAAATTAGAATCTGCCAATGAGTTCCAAATCAATTGTAGTTTCTAATCGTAGATTTAGCGGCGCTGAACAACACACACACCCCTCCCCTTGCTGAAGGAGCCAGCTGTGTGTGTGTGTGTATGTTTGATGGGAGTTGGAATACAGCCTGACCCTCAGAGAGAAAGAAGCTGGGATGAGGGACAGAGGCAACAACACACCAGCTCCAAAGGGTTGCCAAAATTTGGGCAGAAACAGACTCGGTGGTTTCCGACGTTCGGAATTTCTTTTGAATGTAGCATCACTTCGCGTTTCTTCCTTTTTTTAAACACATTGTCTGCAGACAATGAAGTATATGTTTGCTGAAGATTGCCAGCAGAACTTTGGTGAAAACTGTCCTCTCCCCCCACTTCTCTCTGCTATCACCTCTTTGATTCCAAAAGATTTTTTTGTGTGTGTGTGTGGAAAAGCAGGGTGTAATCTTGTTGCTGCATAATTTCGTTGGGGTGGGGTGTGCTGGTGGTAAATTAGCCGAGTAATTCTTACGTACCCTTCCCGTTTGCTGATAGGTATGTTCTCTTCTGCTTGAGGGCTGTGCACCCCTGACTGTTGTACAATCAATGGTCTTCCAGGTTGGTTAAGAAGATTTGGGTGAACACATAGGGAGAGTTAGCAAACGTGGAGACACGGTTGTACTCATTTCAACTCTGCAAGAGAAGATTTGAAGCTCGGAGTTGAACGGAGGGGTCCTCGGTGCTCTCTGAGCTGGGTGGTTTTCTTGCAGACATTTCATGACCCAGCTAGGGAACATCCTCAGTGCAAACCCCACCCGCTTCTAGGACTGAAGATGTTCCCTAGCTGGGTCATGAAACGTCTGCAAGAAAACCACCCAGCTCAGAGAGCACCTTCACAATTTCAGCTCTTCTTCGCTGTCTTCAATTTGTTTGTTTTTGTGCCTTCGAGTCAATCTCGACTCCGGGAAAATGCCTGGAGGAAGTCCTGGCAGTTTTCTCGGCAAGATTTCAGAACTGACTTTTTTACTCTTGTCTCTAACTTCCCTGGGCTGAGAGAGAGTAACTGGCCCAAAGTCACCCAGTTGGCTTCGTGCCTAAGGCAGTCTAGAACTCACGGTCTCCTGGTTTTCTAGCCTGATGCCTTAACCACTGCCCTAAACTAGGTCTCCCTTGCAGCTCCCGACTGCAAGTTTACCCAGCTTTTTACGCTTCAGAAAAAGAGGCAGCCTTGTGATGTTCCCAGTTCAAATGCTGCCTTGAAGCTGAGTCTCCCAATGGAGAAAAAAAAAAGTAATTAATTGGGACCATGCTAATCCTCCCCATACCGTTTTCATGGTGAAAACGGCGTTGCATTTGTGCGATATTTGTGTCTTCCCTTTCGAAATTGCGGCGATAGTAGAATTCGTCCTTCCAGGACCGGATTTTTTTATTTTTATTTTTTTCAAAGGCAGTTTTGGGAAGCAAGGAATGTTTGAAATCCCAGAAACCCAACACAGAGGAAGGAAACTGATTCAATTTCTACTCCCCCCTCCCCCCCCGAAAAGCAATGACTTTGCCTAATGTGCTGTTGGCCGTGGTTAATTTTGGTTTTCATTCCCCTGGGCGACTCTCTTGGCGTGGCGTGAAAGATGAAGCTTCTTAGGTGAAACTTTGCCTCTTTGCTCATCCAGCCACAAAAGATGGACAACCAGGTTTTCTGCTGAAAGGAGATCAGGATTAAAATCTGCGGGGAGGTGTTTGTACTTGATTCAACGCTGAAGTTTATTTCCTATTGACCAAAGCAGGTTTTCTGCTGGCCTCAGAGCTGCGTTTGCAATGCGTACGTGACGGTTAATCGCTCCTAATTCCACTATGGAAAGAAAGTGCAATCAGGGTTGTGAGTTTTTTTAAAAAACTATTACCTGTGCTTTGGTTTTTCACACACATAAATGGGGAGAGGGAACATTTTTTTCTTCCAGTTTAAATTTAAAGGGGCATAGAATCTATACTACATTTCCTACATTTTCCACTTTGCCTCCCAACAAATGGTCTTATTCTCGAACCACCAAACCAGGGTTAACCTTCTCTGCCTGGCCCCTGTTCAGGTTAACGAATCTCCTCTCCTATCAGTGCTGGTCCAGGCTGGTTGGGGATGTTGGGAGTTGTAATCTAAGAGAGGGAGGGGCGGTTAAGAGATGAAGGGAGGCTGATCCGCCTTTCGTTCCTTCTTGAGCGGAAGTCCTGGAAAGGCTTCGCGGCCTTTGCCTGCCCGGTAGACCATCCACTGTTGCAAATTTAAAATAAAAATTAAAAACAGGACCTAGCGAAATGAACCACCTTTGCGAGAAAACGTGGCAAAGGTTTGCCTCTTGCCAAGAACACGGCCACAAATGTAGCGTTGACATTACACACTGATCTGCTACGGCTTTGCACGTCTGTTCTGTTTGTGCCATTTGACTTGGTGTCTAAATTTTTCCTTGTTTCCCTGTGGTATTCTGATGTCTCCAAAGGACTCCTTCTCCTCCTCTTTTCTTTCTCCTCTCCTTCTCCTCCTCCATCCCTCCTTCTCCCTTCCTCTTTCTCCATTCCTCCTCCATTTTTCCTTTTTCTCCTTCTTCCTCTCCTCCCTCCTCTCTTCCTCCTCCCTCTAAGCTGGTGATGGGAGAGTGGCTGTTTTCTGCAAGGGTGACTTGCTAATATTTACAAAACACTCCTATCGCCAGACAGAAGGCACTTTGAAGTTGATGTATGTACAAAACCGTTTTGTCGTGGACACTGGTTGCTTGTTTCTTCTGTCCTCTCTTTTTTTTTTTCTTTCCAAAGAGCGCCCTCGAGCATCGTCCGGCATGAGTTAGGTGTGACTGCCCTGTGCCCCCTCCCCAGGTGACAGATGGAGAAGGAAGACGGATTGGGCCACATCCGTTCCACCTTTATCCCCCCCACCTCCCTGTTCTTGCTTCCAAGCACGATGTGACTTCCACCTGGAATTTGGTGCTCTTATTTATGGGTGGGGCCTGGGGGAGGAATCCCGTGCGGATGGTCCAAGTGGTTTAGAGGGGACCAGCGATCCGTTGGCAGGAAGGAATGGGAGAATCCAGGTGACGTTTACGGCTTAAATCCACACCGCCTCTCCCTGTGACGCACACGAAACCCCGGCTGATTTCAGGATAATTTTAGAAAATGCAAGTTAAAAGTGGCTAGGAAGATCCTCCGTCAGCTGGGTCACAGTTGTATCAAAAGTTGGGAGGGGGGGGTTATTTTTGAAAAGGCAACTGGACTGATTTTTTTTATTTATTTTTTTTCAGGAAAAAGAAGATGTGTCACTTCCTATTCTGGAAGCTTGATCGGTTCTATTGGATGGTGTGGGAGATGGAAAGACGGTCATTGAGATTAGTTGGTGTGTGTGTCTGTGTGGTGGGGGGAAGTGATAGATTCTGATAGGATTGTGTATGTGTGGGGTGGTGAGAATGGAAAGACTGTGTTTCCTTGGCATTTAACTGCTCTTAGGTGACCCTGAGGTCACAGATAAAACCCCAAGTCTCTCTGCTAGATTTGTAGCTTGGGGGGGGGGTCTCCGGTGGTTGTAGCTTGGGGGGGGGTCTCCGGTGGTTTTTTTCTTGCAGGCATTTCATGATCCCGCTAGGTAACATCATCAGTGCAAACCCCAGCCCACCCTTCTAGCACTGATGACGTTACCTAGCTGGGTCATGAAACGTCTGCAAGAAAACCATCCAGCTCAGAGAACAGCCCGAAACCTCACCATTTCAACTCGTCTTTGCTGTCTTCAATTTTTTGTTTCTGTTTTTGTGCCTTTGAGTCAATGTTAACTCCTGGAAAACGCCTGGAGAAGAGGGAGGGAGGGAGGGAGGGAGAGAGAGAGAGAGAGTGAGAGAGAAGTAACCCTGAGGTTACAGATAAACCCCTCAAGTAACCACAACGGCTCTCAGAGAGCGTTACCAATCCTCTCCTCCCAATCCTTTCTGCTAGATTTGTAGCTTGGGGTTGAACCGTGGGGTCCCTGGTGATCTCTGAGCTTGGTGGTTTTCTTGGAGACGTCTCATGACCCAGCTAGGTAACATCATCAGTGCTAGACAGGAGTGGGGTCTGTTGAGTGGAGCAGGAGGAGGAAGAGGAGGAGGAGGACTGTGAGGTCCTTGGTGCTCTCTGGGCTGGGTGGTTCTCTTGCAGACGTTTCATCACCCAACTAGGTAACACCATCAGTGCTACAAGGGAGTGGGGTTTGCACTGATTAATTGCGCCCACCAATTAATCTCAGCTGTCGATAATTGTCCTTCCATCTCCCACACAACTGATGAAGCTTCTAGGATAGGAAGCAAAACGTCTTCTTTTTCCTCAAAAAAAAAAAAAGTCCAATTGCCTTTTCAAAGATATATTTTTAAAAACCCACATTTGATACAAGTTTAAGGGGGGGGGGTTGGAACGGCCTCTTCCCCGTGCCCTGCTCCACGGGTCGATCAGAGAATTAAGTCTCTTGAAATCTTTTTGGGTTTACAACTCCCTTTCTCGACGCCTCTGGGATCGTGGCTTTATTTCACACCTAACGTTTTTGCTGGATCGTGCCCCTTTTGACTGTTAACTCTAGTGGGATTTTGTATTTTTCAATGATTCTGTGCTGTCAGCCTGTGGCTTGCCCTCCTGTGAGTTTCAAAAGTGTAAATTATACCACCAAGTGTCTTAAACTTAATTGTATTTGCCATTGTTTTTTCAATGCTACAAGTAATAATTGTATTATTTCCCCTTTTTTTGTTCCTGTGTGTTTTCAAAGCTTGTTAAAACAGAGAGAGAGAGAGAGAGAGAGAGAGAGAGAGAGAGAGAGAGAGAATATCATACTTTGGATATAATGGCAAACATATTTGTTCTGAAAGTTCCATAGACCACAGCTGTAAAATCAACTGTTGGGTTTTTTTTTTCTCTTCTTCCTTGATATGTAATAAATATTTATGACATTTGATAATGCTATATTCATCATTGGTTTGTTCCCCTGGATATGTTCTGGCTTCTCCCTGGACTTCTGAATATCGAACAGGGGAGGAAAAATACACCCTTTGCCTTTTGTGAACACCCACACCCACACGTCCTGATCCCTCTTTCCTAGAGCCACATTTGATCATTTATCCTCACCATCTGAATTTCCGGGGCAACTTAAGGTGGTCAGAAGGAAGCTCTAGATCAAATTCATGGCCCCACTGGATGCGAACAAACCACATCCATATGTCAAAGAGTTCAATTGGCTGTTTTATTGCTTTGATTGCACCTAGATAACACTAAATGAGGTTCAACAGCATTCAAAGGAGTCACACTTCGCCGTCTTGTGCCTACGTAGGGATTCCAGGCTAGTTTCCTGCTTGACGCCTCCCCCTGGCTTGGAGACTCTTTCTCTGACATCCACATTGCTTAAATGGATTTTAGTTTACGACCAACCCAGGCAGGAGACCTTAAAAACCTCTAGGGATGGGAGCACCCACGTTTTCTGAAGGCAAGCTGTTGCACTGGTCGATTGTCCTCACTGTCAGGAAGTTTCTCCTTAATTCCAGGTTGTTTCTCTCTCTTGATCAGTTTCCAACCACTGTTTCTTGTCCTGCCTTCTGGTGCTTTGGAGAATAATTCTATTCCCTTTCTACCTTCTTTCCTTGAAGCTATCGAATAGAGTTTTCCCTTCTCCCAATCCTGCTTGTTCTATTTCTTTACCAAACGGTCTAGGGACGGTTTTATTTAGGTAACGAACGCTACACCACCCTCCTCTCTGTTGCCAGCTCCATATAAGTAGAAACACTCAGTTACTGTAGTGTTTTAACAGTCATTTATTGAAGCAACCTTCAAAAGCAGCATCCTCGTTTCAAATGTCAAAAGGCAAAAGAAACATTTACATTAGGAAATCTGAGCACCCCGGGCCTGCAGATCAGAAAACATAGCACCCTTTTTATTAGTAATCCTCCTGGCCCTTCCTACCGGGAGGAAGAAGCCGAAACTGGAACAGGCCAAGCTCCGGAGATAAACGGAAAGAACGGAAGGTTTTTGACCTCGCCAACCAATGTCTTCAAACCACCAATTGAATGAAATCCGCGACGAGGGGGAAAAAATAAAATCTTGCGTGCAAAAGTTCTTAACGCGGACTGCGGAAATATGTCTCTATCTCTTCTAGGCTTTTTCCTTTAGTTTCAGGGACACAGAAAAGGGTGAAGACCACATTGAGCAAGCAGGTGGACGAGAACAGCCAAAAAGTCCCATGAGGAGTTAGGAGGACCTAGAGGAGAAAGAATAAAGTTGGGTTAATGTTGGGGTGAGGCCTGGAATTCAGGGAAGGGCTTAGCCGGAGCTGCACCACCTGGCACAACAGGGATAATGCTCGGCTGATTTTATTAATCATATTTAGACAGCCGTCCACCTTGTGAGAAATGACAACGGGTGGCGCACCACAGTTGGAGAAAGTTCATAGAAGATGGTCATCTAAAAAAAAAAAGGACCTTCAGGCACCACAATGGGTGTCTTTCCACACCACATTCCAGAGACGTATTGTTCTTAGGCACCTGCGCCTTTGAAAAAAAAAAAAAGTGTGCTGTGTGTTTGTGTCTTGAGACAAAGAAGAGAGGAGCTACATTTTGGAGCATGGATAACACCCACCTCTAGACCTAGAGACTGCAGTCCTGAATCACAAGGAGATGCCACAATGAGGACATGGTGCCGGATCATTTTACTTACTATTGTGCCTTTATTATTTTTATCAATAACTTTCCAGGGGGGGGGGGGGCTGGAATTGGCTGAGCCTTTACAAAGCCTCTCCATCTTTCTCTCGGCGCTCCTTTCCCCAAATAGATCAAAACCATCATGAGACATCCCAAGATCAAAGCCCAGACAGATCAAGCAAAGGACCTTCTCCCCAGCCAATGACGTTTGTCCCTCTTCTCCTGCAGAAGCCAGCTGGACTTCCGTGGCTTATGCTGAGGTCACCTTTGCTTACCGTGAGGTCGTGGAACTCCTTGGTGACCAGGAAAGCCATGAGCCAATTGGTGAGGACGCAGGCCCCGCTGGCTATTGCCCGGGCTCTCAGAGGGAAGATTTCAGACATCACCAGCCAGGGGATGGGGCCCCAGCCCAAGGCAAAACCTGTGGGTGGCAGAACAGCAAAAGGAGACGGCGTTTGTCCTGGATTAAATCAGGCAACGGAAACAGATTGCCCTCCTTCGCAATGGATGTGAGGATGGGTGCAGCCTGGGGCTGGAGGAACATCTGAGGTCGTCATGAAGACTCCAAACCTATCAAGCTTACTCCACTGAGGATGTAGCAGACGCCTCCAGAATTCCAGAGGGACCTTCTGCTCTCAAGATCACAACTAAGACTGTGGCCATCTCTGCCAATTGGCTCAAGTAAGCGCCTTGCCAAGTCCACCGCCCACTTTGTTTTGCTCTCTGTGGACCTGTCCTCTCCACACCTCTTTCCAGGAGGAGTTGCAGACTCAAGCAGCCAAGTCAGTAGGGGCTAAAATGGATGTGGAAGGATCTTGGTGAACCTGGTGTGAAAATCTGCAGCTTGATGATTTCACTGTACAGGCCATGTGTTTATTTAGACTTAAAGAACATGGACTGCAACAGTGGAAGAGGAAGGTTGACGTGGGAAAAAGGGGCCCATCAAGACAAGGGAAGCCCCACAGGTTAGCAGATCGCTTCTTCCCAATACATCCATCAACCTATTTTCCAAAGCACCAGAAAGCAGGACAACAAGCAACGGATGGAAACTAACCAAGGAGAGAAGCAACCTGGAACTAAGGAGAAATGTCCTGACAGTGAGAACAATGAATCAGTGGAAGAGCTTTTCTCCAGAAATTGTGGGTGCTCCATCACTGGAAGTTCTTAAGAAGAAATTGGACAACCATTTGTCTGAAATGTTATACGGTTTCCTGTCTCAGCAGGGGGTTGGACTAGATGATCTTCAAGCTCCCTTCCAATTCTGCTATTCCCTTACAGTTCAGAAATCGTTAACAGCCGAGAATCTAAAGCTTCTGAAAATCTTCCAGGATCAACCCCCTCCCCAATAATTCTAGATGATGGGAATCCACCTTTTTTTTCTAGAGCCAGCACTTCTGCAAGACCCTCACTCACCCATAATGAAGAAGCTCATGCTCAGCACTGCTAACCAGGCCAGGGGGTGTCCTTCCTCCACAAGGGGGGTGTCCAGGGGGCTCTTCGGCAACTGGAGATGGGAAGAATTGCTGGGGCTGGGGCCGGTGATTCTGAAATAGATCCCAAACACTGTTGCGCTGGCAGCCATGATCACTCCTGGGGAGGAGAGAGGGAGAGACAAGAGCATTCGGAATGTTAACTCTTAATTTTTTGGGAGGAAAACTCCAAACTTGCCTGAACTTGGGAAAGAGAGCTGGTCTTTCCATCATCCTACCTGAGATGATGAGAAGAATTTTTCGCCCGGTTTTATCCATAACGAGAGCTGCCATTGCTGTGAAGAAGACTTGGATAGAGCCAACAATGACGGTAGCGGCACTACTGTTCTGGAAGACACACAAGGAACATGGAAGCTTTTTTTGACCCGTTAGGAAAAGGACAGGTGGTCCTCGACTTGCAACTTAATGACGCATGTCGGAAGAAGAGTTACAGAGAAAAAAGGAAGGACAGTGTTCCAATATCTCAGGGGCGGCCCCAAAGAAGAGGGAGTCAAGCTATTCTCCAAAGCACCTGAAGGCAGGACAAGGAGCAACGGATGGAAACTAACCAAGGAGAGAAGCAACCTGGAACTAAGGAGAAATTTCCTGACAGTGAAGACAATTAATCAATGTTGCCTCCGGAAGTTGTGGGTGCTCCATCACTTTTGGAAGAAAAGACTGGAGAGTCACTTGTCTGAAATGGTATAGTGTCTCCTACTTGAGCAGGGGGTCGGACTAGAAGACCTCTGAAGGTCCCTTCCAGATTCTATTCTACTCTATCCATTTCATATTCTATTCTATTCTATTCTATTCTATTCTATTCTATTCTATTCTATTCTATTCTATTCTATCCCATATTATTCTATTCTATTCTATTCTGTTCTACTCTACTCAATTCTATTCCATATTCTGTTCTGTTCTATTCCATGTTCTATTCTATTCTATTCTATTCTATTCTATTCTATTCTATTCTAATTCTACTCTACTCTACTCTACTCTACTCTATTCTGATTGACTACCTGTGTGATTGATTTGGTCAATACAATCAAGGGGTGTAGTTCCACCGCCCTCAAATAAAAATCTAGCGGATCCGGGAGATCCGCTGGGGGTAGATCAGGAGAAACCACCAACCTCCTCACCTTAAAGTTGGCGTCTTCAAAGATGGTTTCTGCATAAAACATCAAGGCGTTGATCCCGGACGCTTGCTGGAAGAACATCATCGCCACTCCAATCAGGAACGGCTTGTAAATGGCAGGATTCTTGAACTCAGCAAGGCTCATTTCTTGCTACAAAGGGAAATGCAGACTTACAGCAATTCATTTAGTGACCGTTCAAATTTACAATGGCACAGAAGGAAGAGACTTAGGACTGTTTTTCACACTTAAGACCCTCGCAGCCTCCCCACGGTTACGATTTACATTCCGACGCTGGACAACCGACTCACATTTATGACGGTCGCAGCATTGTGTGTGCGTGTGTGTGTGTGTGAGACGTGATCCCCTTTGGCGCCCTTTTGACAAGCAAAGTCCAGGGGGGAAAGTTGGATTCACTTAACGACGGTGTTACCCATTTAAGCACCGCAGCGATTCAATTAACAACTGCATCAAGGAAGGTCATCCAACGGGACAAAATTCACTTAACAACAGAAATTTCGGACTCAATCGTGCTCGTAAGTCGAGGACTATCTGTATTTTACCTTTTGCTTGGTTTAAACTTCCTTTTTGTTTTTTTGTTTATTTGTTGTGTGCCACCTAGAGTAGCCCCATAGCGAGACAGGCAGCAAATAAATTTAATCAACAACAACAAAACAACGGTTGTTGTTATTATTATTATTATTTCGGAGAGCGTGTCCAGAGCTGGCGTCTCAACCCATTTAGGGGAAGGGCTGCAGTTAAGGGAGGCTTCAACAAAGAGGCAACCCCTTTCACCTGTTCGCCGGCGTTGGCTTCGATCTCCCGGCATTCCCACTCGTGATCCACCAGTGGGCCCCGCAGGAATTGCAAAGCCGCGATGGCTTCTGGCTGCCGATTCTGGCGTAGCAGGAAGCGAGGAGTTTCGGGCATGAAACACATGAGGACCAGCAGGAAACAGGGAGGGATACAGCACAGCACCGCCAGCCAGCGCCATGCCAGAGCCGTGCCTGGGGGACAGGAGGAGGACAGCTGTTCTCAGGGCTTGGAAGGGAGGGAGTCGGGGAACAGAACAGCCGCTGTTTGATCCCACGGCTTGGATCTGGTCCTTTGCTTTCTGAGAACACAGAAAGACGCTGGTGGAGATGCTACCGGGGTCCTTCTCCGAGGTGGCACACATCCCAAGGGTGATGCCCAAAGCTCTCTTTTAAAAACGTGTCTTTATCTAGGCTGGCTTCTTCTCCCTGCCCTGTTGTTCATCCGTTATATTCTGAGTTAAGATTTAGCCCTGCTTGCTTTGGGTTTTCAGGATGAGAATTACATAACAAGATGTCTTATTATCCATTATTTTTTCTTCAATCTCCTTTCTTCCTCCCTTCCTCATCTCTCTCTCCTTCGTTCCTTCCTACCTCCCTCTCTCATCTTTTTTTTCTTTTCTTCTCTTTTTCTGCTTCATTACTTCTCTTCCCCACAATTACTTCCTACCCTTTTTTCTTTTTCTTTCTTTTTTTCTGTCTCTTTCTTTCTCTTTTCTTTTCCATCCTTCCTTCCTCCCTTCCTTATCTCTCTTTCATTCCTTCTTTCCTTCCTTCCTCTTCTTTTTTTCTTTTTCTCCTTCATTACTTCTCTTCCCCACAATTACATCCTACCCTTCTTTCTTTCTTTCTTTCTTTCTTTCTTTCTTTCTTTCTTTCTTTCTTTCTTTCTTTCTTTCCTTCCTTCCTTCCTTCCTTCCTTCTTTTTCTCTCTCTCTGTATCTTTCTTTTTTTTCTTTCTTTGTCTTTTCCTCTGTCTCTGTCTCTGTCTCTCTCTTCTTTTCCATCCTTCCTTCCTACCTCCCTCCATCACTGTTCTTTTCTTCTTCACAATTCCTTCCGGGGAACATGGGACAAAACCCCTCCCTCCAGCCGAGTCCGGATTTAACAATGTCTCTTAAGCCAGACCAGGACCTGCTAGATAAGCTCCCAGGATGCCTGTCACTACCATCAGCTGAACGCACGAGCCAAGGACTCCTCGGATCTTGGAGTGAGACGTTTCGGAGATATAGATCTAAGACATAAGCCAGAAAGGTTAAATTAAAAACAGAAGCTGTAATGGAGAAGACCGGGCAAGTCGTAGAATCTTACCATCACCGTCATCTGCCAATTAAAACTGGTAGTTCTCCTCTTTTCCCATCTTGCCATAATGAGAAGGAGTTCAAAGACAGGGATTGATTGACTTTAATTCCACATGATGTAGCTTAGGTTAATTTGAGAATTCATGCATCCCATGCAGGTGGATACAGAAATTATTTCTGCTTGCTTACACCCTCTCAGCAGCTACTGCTGACTTAGCGGTAGGAAATTTCTCTTATCCTCTGCGGAATCACACTGGGAAAAGATTGACACGTTTCCTCCCTTACCGGAACTACCAAAGATGTGACGCCACTGGCCACGCCACACAGCAGCCGTCCCAGATAAAGCATCCAGATGTTTTGGGCCGCGATGATGATCAAGAAACCAAACACATATGGGAGTGTGCAGAGCATCAGGCTAAGTTTCCGGCCAATTTTGTCCACCACGTATCCTCCAAGGGTCCCGCCGGCTGCAGCCCCCAGCGTGACCACAGACTGCAGAAAGAAGGGAAGAAAAAGCCATGTGAGAAAAGCAGGGGAATGAAATTCAGAGGTGGCTAGTCCTCTCTGAGGTTGGTTGTTTTCTTGAGCACTTCATTACACAAACTAGGCGACATCATCAGTGCTAGAAGAGAGAGAGAAAACCCCATTCCTTTCAAACACTGATGATGTTACCTAGTTGGGTCATGAAACATCTGCAAGAAAATCACCAAGCTCAGAGAGCATCAAGGATCCCACAGTCATTGTTCTCCTCCTCCTCCCACAAACCCCACTCCCTTCTAGCACTGATGATGTTACCTAGTTGGGTCATGAAACATCTGCAAGAAAACCACCCAGCTCAGAGAGCATCAAGGACCCCTCATTTCAACCCTGAGCTACAAATAATCTCCGTTATTGGTATTCAAAATTCAACTGTAGCATTTGTCTGAATGTCTTCTAGGCAAATGCTACAGTTTCACTATAAAGCCTTCAGTAGCAGCTTTGTTTCATTTATCTAAGGTCTGGTGATGCTCAGAAAGGTGGCACGTAAGCCGCAAGGATGATAACGACAATCCCAAAATATCTGGAACGCCACTTAAACAATCATTGGCATCGACAAAATCACCATCGGTCAATTGCAAAAGGCAGCTTTATTTGGAACAGCTTACAACCTGTGCCAATAGTTTTAATGCCAACAAACCACAATGTCTGCCTCTCCCAGGTCCTTGGGAAATTACAGTAATTGCCATCTCCAGTGGCTGATTGGTCCACAAGATCTCGTGGCAACTCACCCCAAACCATGATGCTTGTGTGTCATCTAGTCTTAATTCTGGGTTGTTGCTTCGCTTCAGACTAGGGATAGCTGGCGAGCTGTACCCCAGGACGAAGCCAAAACTTAACGGACCTAAGACAGCGGCAAAAGTAGCCAAGTAGAGATTGCGGTTTTGGACTTTGCTGTAAGAGAAGCAAGGATGAGACAAATCGGCGATAAATTATCAGTTTAGGGGCAGCCTCATTTCAGAAACAAAAATACATACACACCTCAAATAAATCTCCAGCTGAGAGGGTCTTCCAGCAGCATGCAGTTCTGTCTCTGGGTTAGGATCCAAAAGGGGTCTGTATTCCTCGGAAGTCATTCTCTTTGGCTGGGCCCCAAAGAAGATGCTTAATGATAGGACAACTTGGCCTTAAGCCCCATGAAAATATAAGGGGAAAGAAAACAAGAGAAAAAGCACAATAAGCAGAAAGATGAAAATCATATGACTTCAAACCACTAGCTTCCTCAATTATAAACTGCAGACTCAGTAGTTAAAGGGAGGCAAAATCTGCAGTGATCCATTTTAATTTTCCACCAGACAAAGAGGCACAACCTCCCTCCGTTCTTTGCTTTGCTCAAAACAGGGATATTTGCAGTGGGTTTATATCTGGAATGGCCAAATAATTCTCTTCCCTGATCTCTTTCTTGCTCCTCTGTCTGAGCAACCAGGAAAGCAAGAATGAAATAAAGAGGAAATTATGTCCCCAAGGATGACAACAGCCGGAAGAAATCTCTCTATTAAAAAAAAATCCCCCAGAGCTTCAGGATTTAGAGGTACACGCAGCAAATTCATGTCTTCACATGACACAACCTCAGGTTAGCCTTGTCCAGTCTGACACCCCGCTCCTCCATCCAAACAATGGATTTCCTTTTCAACCATCACACCAAACTGGCTCTCTAAACCGGCTTGAAACTGACTAGACCTTACTCATTTCACACCTAAGGCTTTTGCCCACCCATTCACCTCTAGCCCAGACCAGTTTTTCTAATGTTGGGGAAAAAAGCCATCTCATCTATATCTAAGCTAAAGTCATTTGAGGGAGACAGCTTTTCACTGTAATGTCTGACATGGGTGCCAAGAGGTTGCCGTTCTGTAGCCCCCCCGGTTTTTCTGCTCAGAGAGCTTCAGAGAAGGTGGGCTATAGAGACCCTTCTGGAAAAAATACATTAATCTTGGAAAGAAGGCGTTGATCTCCTCCGTCCCCTTTTTCTCCTCCTTCTGGGGATCAGCTGCCACACCCCAGGCGTCCGAGAGGGAGGGGATGCTGGGCGTTGTAAACCCAGGCAATGGCTAGCTTTTCCACTTGTAACACCCTCCCTTCCCCAGCCTCTGCCAGGGACCTGAATTCCCCAGCCAGCTGGGCTGAAAAGTGAATTGCCAGGCTGATGCTTGCAGAGGGCGCCAGGTTGGGGAAGGACCCAGGCAGGGAGCTGGGCAAAGCAGCCATTTCCACCCCTTCGGCAAAGCCGCTTCCAAAGGGGCAAGTTTAATTTCCCAAGCGGGGTGAGCCTGACCCGGAAAGCCTACTCACCTCCTTTCCTCCCCGCCTTTCTAATTCCGGCCCCCGCGAGCAGCGCTTCCCCGCCGACCCCAAACAATGCAATGCTAGTTTGCAAGGTGGAACCAAAGACCCTCGCGGTCCGGTTTCCGAGCGGGGCCGGAAAGCGACGGACCGGAAGTGTGTCGATGCTAAAGCGAAAGCGGCATCCGGTCCTCTCTCTCTCTCTCTCTCTCTCTCTCTCTCTCGCTCGCTCGCTCTCTGGAAGAAAAGCGGGCTTATCGGCCTCGATTCGAAGGGAGATAAACAAGAAGCTTCGCCATTTTCAATTTATTTATTCCTTTTTTTTTTCCCCTCCCGGAGTCCGGCTTCTCCGGACGAAATTCCACTACTACCAAGGCCGAGGCGGAAAGGACGCTCTGCCCGACTTGATGCCCCGCCTCGCTAGAGAAGCGGGCGGCGTCGCGCGGAGATGACGTCGGTGCTCCGGCGCCGGAAGCTCCCGGGCCAAAAGCTCTATTGGAATCCGGTGGCGGTAGGTTCGACCCCCCCCCCCAAGTGAAGCGGCGGGCGGGAGGGAGGGAGCGAAGCGGAGAGGAAGGGGGAGGAGGTCAAGCCTGGGCTGGCGCTCAGGTTGCTATGGAGACACCCTGCAGCCAGGGGGCGGGGCCAGGAAGGTGGGAAGGAGGGAGGGGCGGGGACAGATTTTCAGTGGGTGGGTGGGCGAGGGGGGCCACTGGTGGGGCAGGGCGGTAATGGGACGGGGTGCTATTTCTTGCCCCCCCCTCCCTCTTCCTCCAGGCCTGAGGAAAGCAATGCCTGCTCAGCCCCAGCTTGGCCCTTTGCAAGCCAAAAGGGGTGGGTGGGCATCAGAGGTGGTGAGAGGTCGGGGCTGAAGTCAGAAATACCATTTAAACTCCAAAATACAGAGTGACAGAGGGAGGGAGGGAGGAAAGAAGGTAGGTAGGTAGGTAGGTAGGTAGGTAGGTAGGTAGGTAGGTAGGAAGGAAGGAAGGAAGGAAGGAAGGAAGGAAGGAGGGAGCCTTGTGGGTCTCTGAGGTGCACACAGTGGCCTTGGTTACTAACATGAGTCTTGTTCTTTGAACAGGAGAAATGGATACAGAGGAAGGTCAGCCCCTGCTGGGTTCCAAGGAGCAGAAGAAGAATTGGCAGGAACCTACTGGGCATCATCCCATCACAGACAACTATCTAAGGTAGATGTAACCTCTTTCCTAAGCTGTTCAAAGGCTAGGAGTAAAAACTGCAAGCAGGCAAGGCAGAGGAGAAGATTTTTCCATTTTACCGGTCCTCTTTAATCCTCTTTGAGTTGTTTGAGCATCAAACGGCCAAACCAGTTGTTCCTTTTCCAACTGGGCCTTTGGCCATCTGCAAGGTTGTCTGGGACACGACACATCCTCTTCGCAACCTGTTTTCCTGGTTACCTTCTGGGAGGCGAGGGCTTTGTGGTATCCAAAGCGGAACATCTGGATTCAGCCACAGTTTTGTTCCGTACAATATTAACCTTGTGAACTCTTAAGCTTCTTCCTTCGGTTATGTATTCAAGATGGACAGTGATTAATTTGTATACGTATTTATATGTAAGGGGAGGGAAGGAATATGCATGTGTTGTATGTAGCATGTTTATATGTGTGTTATGTATGTGTACGCTTTTGAGAGCAGGCGACAGAATTTCATTTATAACGTGTGACAATGTGCCCACAGTAAAAAAAATAAATAAATGACAATAAAGGTCATCTCTCTCTCTTGTTTAAGTCTTCACTGGGACTGGTCCTATTACAGGGAATCCTCGAATTATGACCACGCTTGTGCCCCAAAATTTCCCTTCCTAAGTGAGACGTCCGTTTAGTGAGTTTTGCCCCATTTTACACCCTTTCTAGCCCACAGTTGTTGAGGGAATCACTGCAGTTGTTAAGTTAGCAACACAGCTGTTAAACAAATCGGGGTTCCCCCGTTGACTTTGCTTGTCAGAAGCTCGCAAAAAGGGGACCGCGTGAAACCCCCCCCCAAAGACACTGCGACCGTCATAAATATGAACCCAGTGTCTGAATTTTGATCACATGAACACAGGGATGTTGCGAGTGTGAAAAACGGTCCTAAGTCTCTTTTTTTCAGTGCCCTTGTAAGTCTGGACGGTCACTAAATGAATGGCTATAAGTTGACGACCTGTATCAGCACAGGGTTGAAATATTATGCGGGCTGTGGGCTGCGGGTGTCTAATGCCCTGTTTTGATGTACCGCAGGTAAATGTTTCCCTTACCTTATGGAGAGGAAGGACTTCGAAGCATGGCTTGAAAACCTCTCCGCCACGTTCCTCTCTCTGACGGACTTGCAGAGAAATGAGGCGTTGGATGACCTGATCTCCCTGAGCGGGGCCGCTCAGCTCAGGCACCTCTCCAACAGCCTGGAGACCCTCCTCAAGCGGGATTTCCTGAAACTGCTCCCACTGGAGCTGAGCTTCTACTTGTTGAAATGGCTGGACCCTCGGACCTTACTCACGTGTTGCCTCGTCTCTAAGCAATGGAACAAGGTCATAAGTGCCTGTCTGGAGGTCTGGCAGGCGGCCTGCAGGAACCTGGGCTGGCAGATCGACGACTCCGTTCAGGATGCCCTGCTCTGGAAGAAGTCCTACTTGAAGGCTGTTTTGCGGATGAAGCAGCTGCAGGACCACGAAGCTTTCGAGACCTCCTCCTTGATCGGACACAGTGCCAGGGTGTATGCGCTGTATTATAAAGATGGACTCCTTTGTACAGGTAGGGCAGTCCTGAACGTAAACAGCTGCTGGGAGAGTGGTGGAAGCACACGGGTTGCCATGTGCGGTCAAACACTGTCAACGCTGCTAATATTGAATATTTTTGTTTTGACAATATATGCAGAACTGTCTGGTATTTTTAGAGTTAAATCAGGTGACAGCAAAAGGGGAGGAGAATATAAGGAAAGGGGGGGGGGAAACGGAAGTAAATCTTTGCCCTCCAAGTTAATTGGAAGATGTGAATCCTGACCCCAAAATAGGGGAGGGGAAATACCTGGAATGTTATGTGCAAAGGAAGGGAATTTCAGATCTTAGCATTCCACCATGCCGTGCTGACATCTCTGTAACGCTAATAAAGGCTTTTTAGGTTAAAAAAAATGCCTGAAAGTTCTTTGAAGTGTTTCATTAATCAGACACATGACACACTGGGCCTCAAAACCAATCGCATCCCTGGGGCAAGAAAGCTAAATTAAGCCCTACGGACAAAACCGTCAGGACGTTGGTCCTCCCAGTTCGCCGTGCCTCAGGTCAGCCATCCTCTCAACCCGCTGGCTCCCCGGTGACTAAAGTTACCTTCTTTTCTTCTCTTTGGGTGGTAGGTTCAGACGACCTATCGGCCAAGTTGTGGGACGTGAGCACGGGGCAGTGCATCTACGGCATCCAGACCCACACGTGTGCGGCAGTAAAGTTTGACGAGCAGAAGCTGGTCACCGGCTCTTTCGATAACACGGTAGCCTGCTGGGAGTGGAGCTCAGGAGCCAAGACGCAGCATTTCCGAGGCCACACGGGGGCAGGTACGTCGGGGTTTTGAGGAGGGTGTCATGTCACGTGGAGCTGCTTCCTCCGTTTAGCCATCCTTCCGCCTCCCAACTTGCAGACTGCTTAGGACAAAAATACCGATAGGGGGAAATGTTTATAGCTCAGGATTGAGATGATGGGTCCTTGACCTGGGTTGTATGTGTGTGTGTGTGTGTAGCTATTTCATCACCAAACTAAATAACATCATCAATGCTAGAAGGGTGTTGGGGTTTGCAGAGTTTAGGAGGAGCAGGAGGAGGACCGCGGGGGTCTTTGTTGCTCTCTGAGCTTGGTGGTTTCCTTGCAGACGTTTCATGACCCAACTAGGTAACACCATCAGATTAGAAAGTGTAGTGTGCAGAATGGAGGAGGACTGTGGGGGTCCTTGGTGCTCTCTGAGCTTGGTGGTTTCCTTGCAGAGGTTTCATGACCCATCTAGGTAACACCATCAGTATTAGAAAGGAGTGTGGTGTGCAGAATGGAGGAGGACTGTGGGGGGGTCCTTGGTGCTCTCTGAGCTTGGTTGTCTTCTTGCAGACGTTTCATTACCAAACGAGGTCACGTCATTGGTGCTAATAGGCATAGCCCAAATGACATGTAAAATGATGATGTGATCTAGTTTGGAAATGAAATGTCTGCCAAAAAAAATACCCAGCTCAGAGAGCACCAAGACCCCTCCTACTGGTATGTTCCTGCCACTCTTCAAATTTCTCTTCCGATTCTGCCTCTTGAAGAGTCTTTGGCACAATCCGTTCTCATCCACAGCTCTCTGGTTACAACTTCCCTCACCCCTGAAACCATGCTTGCTAATATACTGTAGGAACAAATATTTTGCATTGCAAAATTAGTTTGCTCACGTGAGAATCGCTGACAGTTTTTGCCTCTCACGAATGGACTCCAGTCTAAAGAAGCTTAGACCTAATTTTGCTCATCTGACAGTATCAAAAGTTTGCTTGGGCTGTAGTAGAGTTATACACACGGCACTGTCCCTTGTATCATACAGTTCTCTTTTCTCTTTCTCTAGTTTTCAGCGTGGATTACAACGATGAGCTGGATATCCTGGTCAGTGGCTCAGCGGATTTCACTGTGAAAGTGTGGGCCTTATCGACAAGCGTCTGCCTCAACACGTTGACTGGACACACAGAGTGGGTCACAAAGGTGAGTAGCTCAGATGTTCTCCTTTCCCCAAGCCAACCTCTTGGGTTACTTAACGTCTTCTCAAATCAACGTAGGAAAGGCTTCAGCTGTGTATCTTAGAGCCGTTTTGTTGACGCTCCAGATCAGAGTGCTCCAAACTCAACAATTTAAAGATTTGTGGACTTCAGCTCCCAGTATTCCCCAGCCAGCATGGGGATGTCAACTGTCCAGTTGGCGAATCCAGAAAAAAGAACTCCTGGGACATTATTTTATTAAGAGTATACAACTTTATTCAATATACCACGTTGGCATCGAAGAATCAAAAGCAGCTCTGGGTTTCCCGCACAAAAGTAAGCGTTAATTCCCCAGGCTACCCCCAGTCCAAAACGTCCACCAATCACTTCTGTTATGGGAAACAATCAGCCACGCCGGGACATCTGCCCGTTGTTTCCTTGAGATGACAGCACTGTCTCACGGAAGCCGACAGATGTTTGAATGCCATTCTCCCACCCCTGCATTCCAGCACCCCCCTCAGTGTTAGTTGACTAATAATTCACATAACAGTGCAGATATTGCTCCACCAAAGGATAATCTGGCTCACGAAACTTGATTCGAACGCACCGGAACAAATCTTAACATGTTAGGTTGGCTTGTCTCATGGGCCTGCCTGCAGCCTTTCTGAAATCCACTTTTTTTTCCCCGGCAGGTGGTCTTACAAGAGAGTAAAGTCAAATCCCTCATGCACAGCCCTGGCGATTACATTCTTTTAAGTGCGGATAAGTATGAAATCAAGGTACGTCCAGCTTTTGATTTACGAAGCGTTGGCATTGGGGGAACGAGGCGGCTGGTGTCTGAGGACTAGAGAGGGGCCAGGTAGTTCTCGATTTAACGACCACAATGGAGCCCAAACTTTCTGTGGCTAAGCGAGACATTTGTTGAGTGAATGCTGTCCCATGTGACAACCAGGTGAATCACTGCCGTTGTTAAGTTAGTGACCCGGTTGTTAAGTGACTTTGCTTGTCAGGTCGCAAAAAGAGATCACACGATCCTGGGACACTGCGACCGTCATAAGTATGAACTGGTTGCCAACATCTGAATCTCGATCTCATGACCCTGGGGATGCTATTGTGAAAAACGGTCCTAAGTCCCTTTTTTTAGTGCCGTTGTATTGTCAAGCAGTCACTAAACGGAACTGTTATAAGCCGAGGACTACCGGTACTCGAGAATTTGATAGATTTGCCCTGTAAGAATTTTCTTTGGGAAGAGATGATTTGAAGTCAGAAAAAGCAAAATGGCTGCAGCTTGGCGAAAAGAAGGGTGAGGATAGGTTAGAAGGAAGATTCTGAGGTCCCAAGGTGAGTGCCAAGTACCTTAATCCTTTAAACAAAGAAAAACCCGGAAAAGAACATTTGTTCTTTTGTTTGGTGACTGTTTCTCAATCTGTTGTCACCTCAAGGTGATGCTGAGTTTACAATGGATTCTTAAGAAATTTCAGGTTTGAGAGCGGACAGTAGTTCTCTTAATTTTTTCTTTTTTTTTTTCCTTTTTCCTCTTGTTTTCTTTTAAGATAGGAGAAATGTAAAAATGGGATGGCTTGTATGAGAAAAAAGATTTAAATATTTAAGTGTAACTAATTTTGAGACAATCTTAACCAATAAGAATGTTTTGCATACTGTGGGGAAAACACATTTAAATAAGAACGTAAGCAGTTCTTGTTTAAATAAAGGACAATGAAATATCAACATTTCTCTCACCTTTCTGCAAATAATAACCACATCAGCATAAAGCTGTTATGACAAGGCAATCAAGACGATCAGTGAAAAGAAGCTTTGTGCTGATGTGGTTACTATTTGCAGAAAAGAAAAATGTTTATATTTCATTGTCATTTATTTAAACAAGAACTGTATTAATTTAAGGTTGGCTAAAGAGAATATGATTGGAAGAAGAGGCAATCAAATGAAGTTCTTACATGGACTATAGAATTATAGAAATTAATCGTTATGGATCGTTTTTTAAACACTAGCCCAGACAACACAATGTTTACCAACTATTAAGGTGTAGGTTAAAAACCAATTAAACATATTTTTTAAAAAAATAAATAAAAGGGAGAAGGAAAAAAGAGGTTGCCCTTGGCTGTGAGATGTTTTGTAGCCTAGAAAAGGAGATTGGACATTTGGGAAGGGAAATAATTATTTCAGTTTAGGTTGGGGGCTCGCGTTAGGCTGGGGCATTTTTTAAAAAGTCTATTTGCTAAAGGGAGGTTGTGGGTATTTGGGAAAGGAGTTCCAGGCCCAGAGATGGCAGGAGACAGTCAGGAGCTGAACTTCTAGGTTGCTACAATTTCCTGGTTTTCAAATCCCCCCCCTTTTTTTTTTCTTTTCTTTTGCAGATCTGGCCAATCGGAAGAGAGATCAACTGCAAATGTTTGAAGACCCTGACAGTTTCCGAAGACCGCAGCATCTCTTTGCAGCCTCGGCTTCACTTCGACGGGAAGTACATTGTGTGCAGTTCAGCGATCGGATTGTACCAGTGGGACTTCGCCAGCTACGATATCCTCAGGTAGCCATTCTGAATTTTAAAAAAAAAAACCTATGGAAAAGAGAACCTCGTTGCTAGATGCTCCTTTTGCCCAGAATGCACTGGGGAAGGCCTTGCAGATGCCCCAAAGAAGAAGCTGAGCTGAGCTGAGCTAGTTTCTTTCTGGATCAGTAGCTTTTGTAATATCACCGTGGAAAATATTCCTTGGAGATCCTAAGATGCTTCTGATACTTGCCGTATTCCTCCTGGAGTGTTCTAAACTGTGGGGTCCTTGGTGGTCTCTAAGCTTGGTTGTTTTCTTGCAAACATTTCATTACCCAGCTAGGTAACATCATCAGGGCTAGAAGGCAGAGGGGTTTGTGGAGAGGATGAGGAAGAGGATTGTGGGGTCCTTGGTGGTCTCTAAGCTTAGTAGTTTTCTTGCAGACATTTCATTACCCAACTAGGTAACATCATCAGGCTAGAAGTCAGTGGGGTTTGTGGAGTGGGGGAGGAGGGCTGTGGGGTCCTTGATGCTCTCTGAGCTTGATGGTTTTCTTGCAGACATTTCATTACCCAACCAGGTAACATCATCAGGGTTAGAAGACAGTGGAGTTTGTTCCTTTTATATGCTATTCAGTTTCTCTGAACGTAGCTAAGTTTGTGACACTGTCTCTAAAATTCGGCAGGCCTTAGTCACCCACTGATGATTTTACCATCAGTTGTAATATATTACCATGTCCTGTTCTGTTCAGTTCTGCTTTATTTTATTTAATGTGTTATTTTGTGTGTGTGTGTATGCTAGTCTGACTCTAATAAAGATTGATTGAGTGTTCTTGGTAGTTTCTTGATTAGGCTTACTGCTAGGTGTAAGTAAATGAAAAATTAGACTTTTGTTCTGTTTTCTTTTGGCGTAGGTCTGACACCAATTCTTCTTCCCCATCGTTACACTGCTCCTTTTTTTTTTTTAACCCCTTTTACCCCTTTCTCATATCCTCCCTGCTGCTCCTTCACTAGGCACCCATCCCTCTTTCCCCGTGCCAATCCCTTTGTCTGGACATTCCCAAGACTTTCCTCAATTCAGCCAGCATCAGACCGCTGAATTTCGTTCTGAGCCCGTCATGCTCCCGGCTGGGGAGAAACAGAAAAATTTCCGACCTCCCATTATCAAGTCACAGGGTCTCTTCTCTCCCCTCCCCCCACCCCCCAAATGAGTTATCTCTTATATTTCCATCTGATTTTTCTCCCTTTCTTGCAGGGTTATCAAACCACCCGAATTTGCAAACCTGTCCTTGCTGGGCTTTGGTGACATTTTCGCCCTCCTGTTTGATAACCATTACCTGTACATCATGGATCTGAGGACAGAAAAGTTGATCAGCCGTTGGCCGCTGCCGGAATACCGGAAGTCGAAGAGGGGCTCAAGCTTCTTGGCCGGAGAAATGGCTTGGCTGGATGGCTTGGACGGTCAAAACGATCTGGGCTTGGTATTTGCCACCAGCATGCCCGACCACAGTATCCATCTGGTTTTGTGGAAGGAACATGGCTGAACTCAGCCAACGGACTCTGGGACACGTGGCTTTTTATATACATAAATATAAAAAGATATATATATATATATATATATAAAATAAAAAGAGAACGGAGACTGCCAGCAGCGAATCCAAGGGACAATGCTTTGCATGAACCAAAGTTAACACGAGGTTTCCATCCTGCAACGCACAATAGTTTTTACCATTTTTTTTTCAACACCAGTTTTGAGAGGAGGGGGGCGGGGAAGACAAACCCAGCCCCCCCCCCACACACACATAGGAGCCTGTTCAATTTCTTTCTTTTTCTCAATGAAGGTTTCCCAGCATCTTGACTGTTTCCAACATTGGCTTATATATGTTAAAAATATATATATATGGATATATTTGAACATGTATATATATATACATGTTCAAATATATATATATATATATTCGTATTCAAATATATCCCGTTTGAGCCTATTTTGTGACTGGTTTGGGGTTTCTTGCAAGTTGGCAGGGGGAAAAAAAACAACAACAGTTCAAGACAATGGAAATAGATCTCTTTCTAACCACTCTCTCCCTGCTTGGAGGAAAAAAAGGAAATTAATCAAATTTGCTTGCTTGTTTGTTTGTTGTTTGTTTTTGGGTTTTCTTTTTTAAAAAAACCTCTTGATTCACCACCATTCTGTAAGATTTGAATACAGCTAGTCCTTGACGCGCAGCCACAGCTGAGCCCAACAGTTCTGTTGCTAAACTAGACAGTTGTTAAGTACGTTTTGTCCCATTTTGGCTACCTTTCTGGCCACCATTGTTAAGCTGAGTTAGTAAGCCAGTTGTGAAGTGAATCTGGCTTCCCCATTGACTTTGCTTGTTGTAAGGTTGCAAAAGGAGAATCTTGGAAGGTCCCGGGAAGCCATGGTTTAATGAGAACCTCTGAAACCAAGTTTGAGGATGTTGTCAAGGATGAAGGATGTATGGCAAGGTGGAAACATTGCTCAGTGCAGTAGTGAATGAAAATATGAGTGTACATGTGTTGCAAGCATAAACATAGAACTCACTGTGTTTAGGGAAGCAAGGCTAAACTCTGCAGATCAAATCTATGATTGCATACTATCCTTTTTGAAAGGGCAGAAATCAAGGGACGGCGGGTATGAGTAATTCAGGACTGAATTTCCAAAGGAGATGCTGGAGAACTGGTGGATGTCTTATTTGGTTACAATTAAGGCCTTCACAATCCTTCCGTCATGATTCGAACTGCAATCTCTCCGGTGACATGCACCCACATGTCGAATGGGCGTGGATTTCATGCACCACAGACATGAAAATGTGGGCAAGATTTCCATTGCCCTCGATACATATTCCTCCCTCAATCTCTTCTGCATACTGAAGCTTCAATTACAGCATTGAGTAATCACCACCCTATTAAAAGAATGTGTAAAATTTATTCTCGGCCCACACAGGTATGGAGGTACGATTCCCCTGGTTCCTTTTTTTTTTTTAAGAGTTATTTTTTCCCTCTGCTTCCCTGAAAAGTTCCTGCTATCAAAGACAGGATGGTTGTTTTTTTTTGGGGGGGGGGGGAGGCATCTTGACATCAGAGTTAAATCATTTGTGTTTGATAAGTTCTGTTGAAAAACATAATGTATCGTCCATGTAATTTACGGCCACCCAAACTGAAGCTATTTCCGTGAAAAACAGGTTCCTTGAAGAACAAGTTACACTAACCTTATCAAAATTTAATATCAGACTCATCCCATTCCGAAATAATTAACATTTTCTTGACAATTCGTTCTTCACAAAGGAAGAAATAGCCACCATTTTGTTACAGGCATAATCCTAAAGTTGCTTTCAATTAAAAATCTCAGGTGGGTTTCCTTTTTTTTTTTTTTTTTTTTTGTCCCAAAGTGCTTTTTCCAAGGCCAACTGGTCTTTCTTTTTCCTTGAAGACTGAAACTGCCTTAAGTGACTAAACTAAGTTTTTAAGCAACATAAATTTAGCTTAATCGATGCGTTTCATTGTAGAAACTATGACACACATAGGACTATAGTACAATAAAATGATGGATAATTTTCTGGGGATTGCAGTATCCACCTAAAATTATCTAAATTCAATTATTATTATTATTTTAGAGTTACATTCATTCATTGTTGCTAGCTATCATAGGTTAAAATTTAGTTTTGGATGATGTTAACAACCAGTACAATTTATTAAAACTTCCCAAAAAAGTGTTCTCAGAGCGCACTCCGGACAAAAGACAAATGACGTTTCTGAGTTAATCCTCTTTTAATTAAACAGCAGATAAAGCAACTCAGTTTTCTGCAAAGCCAGGATGTAAGAGACACTAAATTATACATTTCATCTCTGATTATTTTTCTCTAAAGGGGCGAATGACACACACACAGGCTGGGTGAAGGAAAACACTTCCTGCTTCAGCAATTTTGTTTGAGTGAAAAACCAAAACTTTTAAAAGATTTTTCCAAGGCTTTCCCAGAACATGCTCCAAATGGCCTTGGAGATGCTATCGACTCTTTTGCCGAGAACTTGGTCAAAAACTTTATTAACGTTGCTAATCAGCGATACGTTGAACCTCCAAATGGTTGTGTCCCTCATGAGATATTGTTCCCCAAATTCATTTTCAAGGTGTCTCCTGCAATTGTAAAGGATTGCGACGTCCCTGGAGACTTCGAGCGTTCGACCGTATCCTTTGAGAATGGAATGGCTGGATGCCTGGACCACGCTCCTTGGGTTTACAATCATTTTCTTCAAAATATTGATGTGCAGTTTATTGGGCTCTCGATAAACGTGTTGCAATACGTTAACTCCGGGGATGGCTTCCCAGAGAGTGACGTTGAATTTGTCCAAAGACAAAAACACATTCTGAGAAAAAAAGTGACTTTCAAAAAAGAAGATCCCAACTCCTGGATGCTGATCCTCAAGGCTATCGATCATCCCTTTCCAATTTGGGTGTTTCAGGGGAAGGATAATTTCATTGATATCGTTAAAAACCACGTATTTGCTTCTGTACATGTTACGGTAAATGCAGTCATTTAAAACGGTGGTTTTCCCATAGCCCCAGTCCTGGTAAGAATACCAAAAAGAAGACAAACGCAAGTAGGAAGTAATTGGCCAAAGGATGATCTCCACCGTGCCTTCTTGAACATAAAAGTTTAAAATCCGATCCATGAGCGAGCTGCAGCTCATTTTGTAGATAAAGACTTTGTTGGCCCCGAGGGTCTTGTACATTTCCACGCTCTGCACAAACTGTAGGACGTTGTCGTAATTCTCGGGCATGACCGACAGGCAGACAGTGTACTCTCTCACGAACCAAGTCCTGGAAACCCGGTTGTTGATTTCAAACCACGGGAGCTCAGCCATGGATCCCCTAGTGGACGGGTGAATGGACATATACTGGGGCAAGCAACGTTGTGGTTCCAAACACACAATATCTGCCGCCCCAACTGGGAGGCCAAACCTCTCTGGGTGGATGTCAACGCTTGCCCGGATGATAGAAATGCGATTGTCGTGACTGCAGCAAAACCAGCAATAAAGATCTTGGATTTTTTTGTAATGGACCACTGCAATTGCCCGGGTGAGGTTTTGTTGCCGGTCATCGTGGTACAACGAAACGACGAAGGTTTTGTTGTGTTTTAAGGCAGTGATGGTATCCTTCACCAGCTCACCTCTGCAAGGGCCCAAGGAGAGCTTGGTTTGGGAGGCTGGGGACGATGGCCTTCTGGGGTACATTTCAAAGAGCAGAAGAACTAAGAAAGGGATGACCATCCAAAGCATCTTGCTCTTAAAGCGGGGCATCTTATTCCTTTGAGGTTGCTACAAAACACATACATTAGACAAGGGAGAGGAGTAAGTGAAATAACATTATTCCTCCTTAACAAATGGCTCCCTCTTAAAAAGAAATGGTTTTTAAGAGAAATCTCTTGAACCCTCTGTATTCATTTATTTTTGTCATATTTATGTAGTGTCTACTGGAGGGGGTGACCTTTTGAGAACTGAATGCAACGGAATTTTATTTTAATGTATGCTGATTCGTGTACATTCAAAGTGACAATAAAGTTATTCTATTCTATTCTATTCTATTCTATTCTATTCTATTCTATTCTATTCTATTCTATTCTATTCTATTCTACCCTACCCTACCCTATTCTATCCTATCTTATCCCCTATTCTATCCTCTATTCTACTCTACTCTACCCTACCCTACCCTACTCTACCTTGTGGTGCGGCCGGAACAATCTTGAACTGCACACACTCAAAACTGTAGAAATGACAGCAGACTTTACTATTCTACAACCTCTTACAATACTAGACAACACAGCATCAACAGTAGAGACCTTCCAGTTTCTGGGTTCTATAATATCTCAAGATTTAAAATGGACACCTAACATCAAAAATGTCATGAAAAAAAAAGAACAAAGGACATTCTTTTTGCGCCAACTCAGAAAGCTCAGACTGCCCCAGGAGCCACTGATACAGTTCAACAAAACAATTATTGAGTCTGTCATTTGCACCTCTATAATTGTCTGGTTTGGATCTGCAAACAAACAAAGACACAGACTTCAACGGAGAGTTAGGACTGCAGAAAAAAACAATTGCTACCAGCCTGCCTTCCCTTGAGGACCTGTATACTGCACAAGCCAGCAAAAGGGCTGTGAAAATATCTACCTCCTGGACATAAACAATTTCAACTTCTTCCCTCCAGATGATGCTCTATGTTGTGTCCTGAGCCTGCTGAAGCATTCAGCAGGCTCAGAAATGTTGCAAACGGTCCCAGGCAGACCAAAAGCTGCCCGGGACCAGACTGGCTGTTGCCAGCCTTGCGTGCATGCGCAAGGCGCAAAAACAGCCAGATTTCTAGTGGCTGACACTGTCCGGGTTTTGGACACTATAAAAAACCATTTATTTATGGTTTTTATCTTTTTAAAGATGTTTTGAAGAAATTTCAATTAAGCCTATATTCAGCTCTGGGAAGGTCAGGGGAGGGAATGGGAGGTTTGGGGAAGGGTTATTTTGTTTTTGTAAAACTTCAAAAATTTTCAATAAAAAAAAAAGGCCTGCGTGCCTTTTTGTTGTTGCTGGTTGTAAGAAGAGAACAATAAAAGAAGCTTGTTTATTACACCATGTGTTGCCTCTTAATGTCTCTAACCTGCAAATACAACACTATAGGTGCTCTACACCAGAACGACTGGACACAAGGACAGTTTTTTTCCCCATGCCGTCACTCTACCTAACAACTAATTCCTACAATCCTGTCAAAATAGTAAAATTGTATTACTATGATATTCTTCAGCTTTCCTATTACCTCTCCTTATCTTCTTAGGATTATAATTTTGCAGCTTATATCTTACAATTTATATTGGGGAAGGGGGGTTGTACCCTAGTATGATGTATGTTGTTTGCTTAGCTAGTACTCCATGACTATCACTAAGTGTTGCATCCTATGACTTATGATGAAGTGTTGTATTTCACCATTTATGATGAATGTATTTTCACGTTGTATAATGTATATGATCATGATTATCACTATTACTTGTCTGTACACTGAGAGCTTATGCACTGGAAACAAATTCCTTGTATGTCCAACCACACTTGGCCAATAAAGAATTTTATTCTATATTCTATTCTATATCCATATCTCTCTTAATGTGTATACACACACACACACATATATAAATATATTATTGATATCTATTATACATCATTTAGATAGATAGATAGATAGATAGATAGATAGATAGATAGATAGATAGATAGATAGATAGATAGATAGATAATGGATAATTAGATTATATAAATGTAGCTGAAATTAATATAGTTTTATAGATAGATAGATAGATAGATAGATAGATAGATAGATAGATAGATAGATAGATAGATGTCTCCAATTCTCATCTACATATATTTATATCTAATATAGATATATATTATCTGTATGCATTATTATATCTATCAATATCAATATCAGCTATATTTTCAAGAAAAAACTGATATTTCCCTGCCATTAAAGGCTATTTTTTAAAAAAAAAAAATAGGAGAGCAAAATCAAACCTAAAATCCTCACCTCAAGGATTTCCTCAGGAGGCTGAAGAAAAATGCTATTTTTCTCCCCTCAAAAGAAAAAGAAAGGAAGAAAGAAATAGAGTTAGGCCTTGGGGAGTTATATGAGGAAAAGAGGGAGAGAGAGGAATAAAAATGTATATAAAAATTCCTGCCTTTTCCTCTCCTCTTGGAATGGCTGCTAATAAACTGCTCAAAATGGTGGAAAGTGGTGCTTCCTGTTTCTCCTCCTCCTTTTCCCTGTTGAAGGTGGAAGAAGTGCTATAATCTTAAAAAGGCCCTTTCTTCCAAATGAACTAATCTATCTATCTATCTATCTATCTATCTATCTATCTATCTATCTATCTATCTATCTATCTATCTATCTATCATCTATTTATCTTATCCCTTGTCTATCTTTGTGTATCTATATTTATTTCTTTATTTCTATTTCTCTCTACTTTTATCTATCTATATTTATCTTTGTTTATCTCTGTCTGTCTGTCTGTCTCTCTCTCTCTCTCTTTCTCTCTCTGTCTGTCTATCTATCTCTCTAGCTAGCTAGCTATTTATCTTATCCCTTGTCTCTTGTTTATCTTATCTCTTGTCTATATGTATCTATATTTATTTCTTTATTTCTGTTTCTCTCTATTTGTATCTATTTTATTTATCTTTATGTTTATCTCTATGTATGTATGTATCTATCTATCATCTAGCTATTTATCTTATCCTTTGTCTCTTATCTTATCTCTTGTCTATTTTTATGTATCTATATTTATTTCTTTATTTCTATTTCTCTCTATTTTCATCTATCTATTTTATTTATCTTTGTTTCTCTCTCTCTCTCTCTCTCTCTCTCTCTCTCTCTCTCTCTCTCTCGTCTAATCTGTCTTTTTAATTAAATTTATACAACCACCCAATTAAAAAACTATTCCGGGCAGCCTTACAAATCTAATGGAATAATAATGGCTGTGGACTCCTAAGTACATCTGCCATTGTTAGAAGCCCATTCAGATACCACCAAACATCTTGCTATCCTGGTTGAGATTCCTAGCTTGCAAAACTGGGGTTGTGACTTATGGCCAAAATGTCATTATTCTTAGCAGAAAATGTGACATGTCAGCCTGGGTGCAGCTGATGCGTGTGAGCGAGTCTCCACCTTCCTAAAAGTATTTTATGGCTACAGTTCTGAAAGATCAAACTCACAGCAGATAGCCAAAAATGGAAAATAACTGAAACTCAATAAACTCCTCCTGAATTCTCAATTCGATATCTGCCAATTTCCCCATCCAATTTCTGTATGGGCAGGGAGGGCCAATGCATTGTGGTTATGAAAAGAAAAAGAATAAAAGAAGTGCTTTGGCATGCTAAAATGTGGGCAGCACATTTCAGGATTATCACAGCTTAACAACAAAAAAAAAACAAAACAGCTTGGGCTGCAAAGCTTAACGCAGACTGGAAATATCTGACAGAAAAAGCAACGAAGCAAGACATGGCGACATTCAAACAAGGACTGCATTACCTTGAGATGTGCATCTAGAAATACATAATGGGTTTTACTTCAATTAAAATTTAAATATTTGAAAAATTAATAAAGTCTAAAACAGGATCTTTGGGATAGATAAGGACCTTTTGTAAACGTTTATTGATTAATGAAATTCATATCTAGCGATATATTTAATGAAAATTTGTGTTAGAAATGTACTAATGAGATAATAATTTAAACAGATAGTGTTAGTTTTGATTTAAGCATTTAATTTATATATAGCAATATATTAATGAATGAGTTGGTTATAGGATTGTATTAATTTGATTATTATATTGATATTGAGCGGTTGAACGTTTTTATTGATTAAGGAAACTTATATTTAGATATATTAATGAATGAATTTATTTGAATCTACTTGATTATAATATTCTACATAGACAGAGAGGGAAATTTTAAGAAACATTGTGTGAATTCTATATTTATAATGTTATTGTTTCTTTTGTAATTGACCACCTTATCTCCACGCTGGCTTTTAAGCTTCTGTTGGTGTAAAATGGAAAACTAATAAAAATTGTTTTTTTTAAAAAAAAAAAAAACCAATTCTCTGCTCCATGAATTCAGAAAGGTGGGCTGTTACATGTTCTTTTCTCTCGCAACTTATTATTTATCTATTGTGTTTAGAACTTGGAGATGCCACCAATCTTTAGCTAGGGAAGGGAAAGAGATCTCTATCTCAGAACAATAGAGTTAGAAGGGAACTTGGAGGTCTTCTAGTCCAACCCCTGGCTCAAGCAAGAGTCTACACAATTCTGGACAATTCAGGCTTTCCAATCTATTCTTAAACCCCCCAATGTTGGAGCAATAACCACTCCTGGAAGCAAGCTTTTCCACGGATTAATTGATCTGGGATTATAGGGTAACAGACTAACAGAGCGGGAAGGGACTTTGGAGGTCTTCTAGTCCAGCCCCCTGCTCAAGCAGGAAACCTTATTCCATTTCAGACATGTGGCTCTCCAGTCTCTTCTCTAAAACCTTCAGTGATGGAGCACCCATAACTTCTGGAGGCAAGCGGTTCCACTGGTCAATTGTTCTCACTGTCAGGAAGTTTCTCCTTAATTCCAGGTGGCTTCTCTCCTTGATTCTACCCACTGTAATTCTTATCTTGCCTTCTGGTGGTTTGGAAAAATAAGTGGACCTACCTCTCCCTTGTGGCAATATATATAAGATGGCACCAACTTGCTTGCCTGCGGCTGCTTCAGCTCTCAAAAGTGTTATGGAAGGGACTGATCCGGATTGAAGAACTTTTCCAAAACAGAGACAAGAAAGCTTTTTATTTCTAGGGAGAGCCTGGCATCGTGCCAAGTATGACGTAATGCTACATTCCAATGACATTGCCCCCAAAGGGGACAACATCATTTTGGCACTGTGCCAAGGCTTGCCCCAGAAATAAAAAGATGATGTGATACTCTTGGCACTGTGCCAAGTATGACACTAATTAAAACAAAAACTTTAATGTACAAAATAAAAAAGGCTACTTTTTTTGTCTCTTCTTTGTTGTGATCCTGGAAGAGAAATACACTTGGTGTGCAATCGTAAAGCTATACACTATAGGTAAACCTCACTTTACGACCGTTAATACTAGTTCCCAGGCTCCCAGGGCTGGTTATGTTGGCCTTTGACTGATTCTTCAATCAAAGTTCTGATTTCAACACTCAACCTGGAACCGTGCAGGGACCAGGGCATCCGGTCCCTACATAAAGCCTATTGCAAAGCCTGCATCCCGAGTTGGTTCTGGCTACAGCATTACGTCGCCCTGGCACGCTGCCAGGGAAAAAGGCTCTTTGCAAATTTTCTAGTTAGAAAAGAGTAAGGACGACGTAAGGCTGCATTCTGATGACTTTGCCCCCAAACTGACCAACCTAGCCTGTCCTATCTTGGGAAAGCCTGACTTTTTTGCCCTCTTTGGGCTAAAGAAATATTAGGGCCAGAGGTTTGGCCCACTTTGGGGGTTAGAAAAGAGTAAGGCTAACGTAAGGCTGCATTCAATGGGATTTTAAGGTTATTATTTTGCATCTTTATTATGAGAAGCCCTGTTATTTGTATTAATAGAACAACGGGAGGCTCAGGGACTGCAAAACGGGCACAGGTGTAGGCAAAAAGGCTCTTTGCAATTGTTCTAGTTAAGAAAATTTGCATTCTGATGACTTTGATCCACACAGCCTGTCCTATCTTGGGAAACCCTGGCTTTTTTACAAACCCCTTTGGGATAACGTTTATTTCCTCGTGGGGCTGCTGTTCCTGCCTTGACCACATGTCCCGTATCATTAGCACCGAGGCCATCATCGGCCTTTTTAACTCGGTTTAAGGCTTTTGGAAACGGGTTTCCTGCTTCCATACCTGTTCTGCAGCCCCCGGGCCTCCCGTCACTCTATTATGATTAACCGGTGGGTATGCATACCACCTGAGGCAGGTAGAAGCAGCCCTGCTCAGGCAAGCGTAGTAGGAGGGGGCGGAGACAGCAACAGCCTTGGGTATATAATTAGGCAAGCAAGCCGGCAAGGAAGCCGGCAGCTTGTGAGGCGATGTACAACTGGTGGCAACGCAACGCTGGGCAACGCAACGCTGGGCAACGCAACGCTGGGCAACGCAACGAAACGCAGCCAACAGGCAAGAAATGCAGTATCGGCTGGAGGTAAGGCACTGGGGGGGGGAGGAAGGGAGGGAGATGGAGAGTGCTTTTGTGCGTTTGACGTTGTGGGATCTGAAAATGCAGAAGTCTTTTTTTAATGGTGGAATATTTAAGGGAAGGTAATTTGTATAGTTTGTAGTTCTTTTTTTGCACCGCACGGCACGAAGGCAAGGCAACCAACAGACAAGAAATGCAGTCTGTGGGGGGGAGGAAGGGGGGGGGAATGGAGAGTGCTTTTGTGCGTTTGACGTTGTGGGATCTGAAAATGCAGAAGTTTTTTTTTAATGGTGGAATATTTAAGGGAAGGTAATTTGTATAGTTTGTAGTTCTTTTTTTACACGGCACGGCACGAAGGCAACGCAAGGCAACCAACAGGCAAGAAATGCAATATCAGCTGGACGTAAGACATGCGGAGGAAGGGAGGAAGATGGAGAGTGCTTTTGTGAGTTTCAAGTTGTGGGATACGAAAATGCAGAAGTTTTTTTTTAATGGTGGAATATTTTAGAGAAGCTAATTTGTATAATTTATAGTTCTTTTTTTGCACCGCACGGCACGAAGGCAAGGCAAGGCAACCAACAGACAAGAAATGCAGTCTGGGAGGGGAGGAAGGGGGGGAAATGGAGAGTGCTTTTGTGCGCTTGAAGTTGTGGGATCTGAAAACGGAATATTTAAGAGAAGCTAATTTCTATAGTTTGTAGTTCTTTTTTTACACGGCACGGCACGGCACGGCACGAAGGCAACGCAAGGCAACCAACAGGCAAGAAATGCAATATCAGCTGGACGTAAGACATGCGGAGGGGGGAGTAAGGGAGGGAAATGAAGAGTGCTTTTGTGAGTTTCAAGTTGTGGGATATGAAAATGCAGAAGTTTTTTTTTAATGGTGGAATATTTAAGAGAAGCTAATTTGTATAATTTATAGTTCTTTTTTTGCACCGCACGGCACGAAGGCAAGGCAAGGCAACCAACAGACAAGAAATGCAGTCTGGGGGGGGGGGGAGGAAGGGGGGGGAAATGGAGAGTGCTTTTGTGAGTTTGAAGTTGTGGGATCTGAAAACGGAATATTTAAGAGAAGCTAATTTCTACAGTTTGTAGTTCTTTTTTTACACGGCACGGCACGGCACGAAGGCAACGCAAGGCAACCAACAGGCAAGAAATGCAATATCAGCTGGACGTAAGACATGCGGAGGGGGGAGTAAGGGAGGGAAATGAAGAGTGCTTTTGTGAGTTTCAAGTTGTGGGATATGAAAATGCAGAAGTTTTTTTTTAATGGTGGAATATTTAAGAGAAGCTAATTTGTATAATTTATAGTTCTTTTTTTGCACCGCACGGCACGAAGGCAACGCAAGGCAACCAACAGACAAGAAATGCAGTCTGGGGGGGAGGAAGGGGGGGAAATGGAGAGTGCTTTTGTGAGTTTGAAGTTGTGGGATCTGAAAACGGAATATTTAAGAGAAGCTAATTTCTATAGTTTGTAGTTCTTTTTTTACACCGCACGGCACGAAGGCAACGCAAGGCAACCAACAGGCAAGAAATGCAATATCAGCTGGATGTAAGACATGCGGAGGGGGGAGGAAGGGAGGGAGATGGAGAGTGCTTTTGTGAGTTTCAAGTTGTGGGATATGAAAATGCAGAAGTTTTTTTTTAATGGTGGAATATTTAAGAGAAGCTAATTTGTATAATTTATAGTTCTTTTTTTGCACCGCACGGCACGAAGGCAACGCAAGGCAACCAACAGACAAGAAATGCAGTCTGGGGGGGAGGAAGGGGGGGAAATGGAGAGTGCTTTTGTGAGTTTCAAGTTGTGGGAGATGAAAAAGAAGAGGGTTTTTTTTAATGGTGGAATATTGAAGAGAAGCTAATTTGTATAATTCTTTTTTTTGCACGGCACGAAGGCAAGGGAGGGAGAAGAGCAACAAAGATGATAAGGGACTGGAGGCTAAAACATGAGGAACGGTTGCTGGAATTGGGTCTGTCTAGTTTAAAGAAGAGAAGGATGGGGGGGCGACATTAAAACAGTCTTCCAAGATCTCAGGGGTTGCCCCAAAGAAGAGGCAGTCAAGCTGTT